ATTGACGATGATTATATATCCTTCATTGATTGCGATTTTCCAATTAACATGTATTATTTAGGATTTCAATCAAACACAGACTCGTACAAACCTCGATTTCGAACGAACTCAAATTCCGCATATACATGTAGATCGAGGCATATTTTCAATCTTCATCAATGTGTAAGTTTATTTATGGAACAAACTAAAGATTCTAATAATGGTGGTTAAATTCATCTATGGATGAACAAAGATTCTAATGATGGCGGTTATTTTCATCCATGGATGAAGGACATTGAATAATAATGAAGAACAATGTGTTGATTTTAATTCTTTTAATTGAATATTTATTTTTTATGTTATTAAAATCTGATTTTTATAAAATAGTTATAAAAATAAAAAATAGATTTTCGAAAAAGTAGAATTTAATTTTCGAAAAAAACAATTTGAATTTAAAAAAGAAAACCCCAAAAAAAGAGGTTTGACCAAGCAAAAAAAAAAAAAAAAAAAAAAGAAGGAAAAATCGGCCAATAAAAATTAAGAATAATGGTGGTCATTTTAAGGATAATCATTGTAAAATCATCCCTATTATAATTACCCAATTTTCTCCTTGTTCTCCTCTTTACCTTTGTTTTTTTTCCTCAAAACAATTATCATTATTATCATGAGAAAGAGAAAAGGGGAAGAACATAATGGGTTTAAGTCAAAGTTGGCATACAAATTTAGTTCATGTTCGTGTATACAAAAAAATCACTTCAACTAAAAAAAACATATATAAAAAATAAATACACATATGCTCTTACTTTTTAAAATTAAGGGCCTTTAATAATAAGCTACTAACTTATCACAGTGTCACGTACTCATGTTAATTTTTTTTTTCACCAAGTTACTCTTCTAATTGATCTCTACTCTACTTAGTCTACTATATACACCACTAATCTTTAACACTAAATTACTAATTCCAAACTGTTTAGGATAATGCAATGAAGGATTAGTAACATAATCTAATAAAACTACCAACCATTAATCTTATTCCTTATCCATCTAATAAAAAAAAGGGTAACAAGTCACAATCCATAATTAGTAAACTAATCAATACAATAATTGCAAAATTGACAATTTGGGTAGCACAAAAACATCGACAATTACAAGACAAGAATATAAATGCATCACATCAATAACTAGTAAGGGATGTTGGTGGCCCACTGACCCGGCCCGCAATGCACGCTCAACTAAACTACTAACATCATCACTTCATTCTCATGACATCACTTCATTTTACATTTATTATTATTTTTTTGGGTGAAAATCACTTTAAATTATGCATGTTCTTCATTTCAACGTGCATTTTTTCATTACTTGATTCTCTCTCATCATGCCTCCATGGTGATGGCATCATCACTTCATTAGCATGAGTGCATGAAAAATGCATATGATCATCATTATCATATTTGATTTTATATCACCCATTAATTTGGATATAATTTTTTAATGTTCCTAATTGCCATAATCTCATTCAATTCCCACTACTATAAAAAAATGTGTTAAAATTTGTATCATTAATTCATTATATCGAGTGACTTCTTTAGTTTATTCATTGATTGATTTATATAGCTAGAGGAGAGTTTTTATTTTATTTTATTTTATTTATTTCTTAAACGATAAAATTAATTTCATCAGTTTTTCATTGATAATTTTACTTTCCATAATCAGAGGAGAGTTTTCATTTTAATTTATTTTTTCAACGATAAAATTAATTTCGTCAGTTTTTCATTGATAATTTTACTTTCCAATTAGACGTGTTTGAGCTCAAAATTTGCTTTTGCTAGCTTGTATGATATATTTCTTTAACTCTCCCATTCCCCCATACAACAAAAATTTTCAAATGAAATTAATACTCTGTAATAAAATATGACCTATTATATATTTACTTATCTGAATTCAGATCATTTTATGTATGTCTGAATTTATCTGAACCCACCTTCATCATCAATTTTCGATCAAAAAACTTCTTGATCGTAAATTGACAATTCAACTATAAAGACACTTGTTATAAGCTCAAGTTTACATGGAAAGTGGCCATGTCTATAATTTTTCTTATCAAGCAAAAAATGGGTAAAAAAAACATCCTAAGGTCCAAATTAAAAACGGGCTGCTCCGGGCCTCCGGCCCAATATCAGGTGCCAGGGAATAATTGCGCCGCAATATTTTAGTACTGTTATTGGATATTTGTATATATACCTGTCCCATTTTATTTTCTAAGGTCGAAATATAAAAAATACAATTCTTTATATAAAATTAATAGAAGAATTTGATATCATATTATCATATTCTGAAGATAATAAACAAGTTTGGTGGTTTCATGTTTCAGCTTCAGCGTGCGACTTGAGAAGAAAGCAAGGTAGGAGTACTTGATTGCTTAGCCATTAATTATTTATTTTATTCACTATTTTTTATTTAATTTCTTGGTGGATTTATACTTTAAATAACAAGTCTTAATCAATAACTTCCAATCATATCTTGCAAAATCTCATACGGATTTTATAATATTTGTCTAGGGTCAACTATATAATTATGCTCGAGGAATATTAGATAATAGATACACGTATTAGCTTATAATATAAGTTTTAAATATTTAATGTTTCTTGTCACATTTTAACACGAAAAATACGGCACAACATAATAGAAATGAGTTATAATGAAATATATATGGAGTATTATATATTTTTAGTTGAACAATAGATATTACCTTTTGGGTATCATTTTAATATTATTTAAAGTTTAGTATTTTTATTTTTAACTTCATTATTTAGAAACCTTTTTACCAATATGATTATACTCGATTTGTTAAAACTATAACAACTTATAAGGACGAAAGAAAGAGCGAAGATGTTATGGCATGTAACTTAGGATACAAAAGGAAAGGGATGGAGCCAAGTGTCTCAAACTAGAGTGTGCAATCTATGGAGTTTCACGTATGAAATTATGTGTAACAACTTAAATTAACAAAAATCAGTGCATTTCTAATTGAGACAAAGAGAGTAATCACACATGTTCATCACATATACCACTATAAGTTCAACCGTCATATGTGTGTAATTATCAATAATACTAGCTAACTCTATATATTTTCACATGTTAAATTTATTTGTTACTATTTGATTAAAGACTTTCAAGGCATGTAAGATTGTAAGATAAGTATTCATCATGCATTGCGTAAACATTTTTTTTTTTTCATATTAATTACAACATTTACTGAAAACGGATGTTTTTTTTTTTTTTTTTTTTTTCCTTTTTAATTGGACATCTCTTTATCTCTCCCCTCATCACATGCATATTTATCTTTCTCTCCATTTATTACCCACGAACAAAATTTACCTTAATATGTGTCAAGACATTTTGCACATAATATAAAACGGAGGTATAGAGTGTAAATTACACCGATGACAAAGTGACATACTTCGTTTAAAACATTTTGGAAAACATTAAGGGAAAATTAAAAAAAATATACAGTACCTTACAAATATAAATTACTCGGTAACATTTATTTGTAATATGATATATTTTCGGATGATAATTATTGGACTATCCCTACCTTTTAAAAAGTATGAGAAAACACTTATGAATAGTGTGAGGACAATTATATCCTTAAAAATGTTTGTTTACCTACATGCCCCTATTAATATAATGTTAATTGCCTCTAACCTATTCTTTTATGTGATTTAATGATTAACTCTTTGAATAATGTTTGGACAATTATACTCACTAAATTGTTTATTAATATATTTGTCGTTATCAATGTTAATTGCTTTTTTTTTTTAATAAAAAAAACTCTTAACAATAGTGTGCGGATGATTAAACACCTAAAAAACTCTCCAAAAATGGCTAGCTATAGCTCGCGCATCACGCACGTTAGTCACCTTAGTAAATTAGTACTCCATCCGTCCCATAATACTTGACACAGTTTCCATTTTCGTCCGTCCTAAAATACTTGACACGTTACTAAATATGGAATGAGACCACTAATAAAAAAAATATTTTCTTATACTCTCTCTGGGACCACAAACTCTGAAACCCAATAGAATCCTACATTTTCTCCTTCCTCACTACCCCACTTGTTGTTTTCTTACAATATAAAAATACAAAAGAGAATCTTTAACCCAATAAACAAATGTTTTAAATAGACCCAATTATAGTTTTCTTAAAGTACGTGTCGACCCCAACGTCCCAAGTATTATGAGACGGAGGGAGTAATATGAAATTACTAAGGATTTTTTAACATAAACAGACAAACCTTTGGCCGGTTCTCCCATATTGGACAAACCTATAAATCTGTCCATATTGGATAGAAGTTTGCATTTTTTCTCCCAAAATGGACCAAGCAGGTCACACTACATGTTATACCAGGTAAAAATCCACTTGTCATTGAATCATTGATTAAGTTTTTTTTTAAGAAAATTTTAAATTTTGATAAGCTTTACCAAAAAAAAAAAAAAAAAAAAATTAAAAAAACCAAAACCACCCCACTACCAACCACCCCCCACAACAAAGAACAACCACAACATCACCACCAAATGCCAGCAACACCTCCAAGCACAGCACCGCACCGCAACACAACAATCAACGATACAACCACCTCCTTTGCACCCGCTAACTAATTTCTGCAACAACAATTCAGACAACCGCCACTGCAATCACAGCAGCCGCAACCCACACCCCTGCTCACCCACGCTCCCGAATCAACCACCCACAAATCAACACAACAATAGCTAACACTGCAAAAAAAAAAAAATAATGATAAAATCAGAGATTATAACATGAAAACCAAACACCCACAACGCAACCACACTAAAAACCCACAGATCTAAATAATTGAGAAATAAAACGAAAATATAAAATGAAAATCAAATATTTGATTTAGAATGAAATCATGAACTTTAGATCGAAGTAAATAAGCCAAAAAAAAAAGAATATCATATCAATCACTTTAAAACGACCAAAACACGAATTTGAACATTGAAATTCGAACACAATGAGATTAATCTTCATTGAGGGGTGAATTGTGGATAATTGAGGGGTGAATTGTGGTGTAGGAGGGTGGTTTCGAGAAGGTGGTTTAGGGTTCGAGGGTGGGGTCGCCGACGCCGAGGGTGGGTTGGGCGCTAGCCGCCGTCAGACAGAGGGAGGAGGGGTGACTGGCAGTGTGGGCTGGCAGTGGATTGGGGTTTTTTTTTTTAACTTCCCAATCGGTTGCCTCAAACTCAGTTCATTATGGGCGAAAAATGGTAAAGTTTTTTCCAATATGAACAGATTTATAGGTTTGTCCAATATGAGAGATCCGACAAAAAATTTGTCTATTTATGTTAAAACATCCAATTACTATTTACTAATGCAATGCCTAAAACCCCCCAAAAAAAGACGGCCCCCAAAATATGAGAGAAAAAGAGTTGGCCGTAACTTGAAGCATCGTGCATGCAATTGTTTCTGTTTCATTTCATTCTTCCATTTTCTCCCCATTTAATTTTGTCTCTCTCCTCATTTTTTCTCTCTTAATTTCTGTTTTTTCTACTCGTACTTCTGCATGCTACTCTGCTTCTCCAATCGTTTTTTCTTCCCCGAAATTTATCCTATATTATTTTAATTAATCTCCATAATTAAAGCTTCTTAATTCAATTTTTGAAGATGAATTAATGACTGTAAATTAAAGGTTTGTTCTTTTTCAACTTTTTATTTTTTGCGTTGATTTTTTGTTAATTTAAGTGTGTTAGCAACTGAATACTTGTTGATTGAATCTTCAAAGATATGAATTTTTTTTTTTTTAAATAAATTTATGTAAAGTTTATGACGTTCGGTTTATTTACATGAAATTTGCAGGGTTTTTTTTTGGAGTTTTGAGTGAAAAAAAAAATTAAATAATAAAGAAAATAAATTATGGGTTCGAAGACTTGTATGAATATTTTGTGTGGTACGACGTCGTCTGCTGAATGGAAAACTGGTTGGAGTTTGCGATCTGGCGAATTGGCTAATTTATGCGATAAATGCGGGTAATTTGTTAATTTTCTCAATTTTAAATCTCGCAATCAAATTTTACGTATATATTTGGTTCATATGGTAATTATATTATTAATTTTTAATATATGGTTGGCAAATGATAAATTTGGGTGGATAAATGTTTACCTGCTAATTTCCGGTTCAAATTTTATGTTTCCTGATAAAGTTTTAATTTTTATTTTAATGGGAAATTGAAAATTTGGTCCAAATAAAGTATGTCTATAAATAGGGATTCTTATTGTTTTGTACGAAAATTGATCTATTAATTGCCTTATTATTGTACTTAGTAGAAAAGAAATGCATTATTTTTGAGGCAAAAGAGATGCTTCCTTGCTTAGTTTCTAGTTTATTGAAAATGATCCTTTACATTTCATCAGTTGCTACTGATGACATACGAGCAATGCTCAAGTGTTTTGTATGTTGCAAACTGATGGAGGATGATTGAGTTGAGTATATTGCTTATGATCGATCCTTTAGTGGTTAGTGAAGTATACGAGTTTTGACATTGATTTAATCTGAATGCCTCCAAAGAGGGTCCTTTCTTTTGGTGGGGAAATGGAGCGCGGGGTTAAATTCTATGAAGTATTAGACTTACCATCCCTGCGAAAACAATGAGGTTGTTTCCAATTGACCCTTAATTTGATAAAATGATATTCAAGGAGCCAAGGACAGTCAAATAGATTACAATTATTATGACATAAGAAATTCACTGAGCTCATTTGTTTAAGTTCATAGTATCTGAAAAGCCAAAGGGGTGATACTTTGGATTCTTTGGTAATGGATCAACTTATATATTGCTCTTTTATTTATGCTCACTAGAGATTATATGGTACACCTTTGTGCTTACTTCCAAATACAAAATTGTGTTTGATTTGAAGTGCAGGGTTGAAAAAAGAAAGAGACTTAGAGACGTGATAATATTTATGTCGAATCAAAATTAGACTTGGCTTGTATTAATCTAGTCATAACCATTGCTGGATGATATGTTAAGTTAGATTTACAATTAGATTATAGACCAAGCTAAAATTTAGGCTGTGCAATTTGCATAATTGCATACAATGGAGAACTGTACACACTGTACAATAGAGGTTGATAGGAAATACAAATTATAATGAAAATGACAATGATGATTGGCTATTTACAGTCCATATTACTTAATCAAGGTTGAGCGTAAGTTCTTTAATCAACCTAGTATGTATGGAATCAGGATTTTTCTTGGAAGTAAAGGGTATAGTCTCCTTCATTAAGGAGGGACCTCACTGCATAGTAGCATGGTGCCATTGTCTTCATTGCTATGCATAATTGTGAAAATGTAATTTTGAAAACATAATCAGACAGAGTATTTTTCAGTCACCTTACATATTTGTTACCCAAAGTTATGAGTCACCACATGATTATAGATGTATTTGGCCTTTCAGAGCTATACGTCAGTTGATACATTGCTTATTTATTTAATATGTTCAAACTTTCAATAACTTGAGGAGGTTGGTAATTATACTAGAGGTGAATTTGACAATGATTTTGTAGTTGCTGCTTGCTCTTCATTTTGGGCCTGAGTGAGGACAGGGGCTGAATAATTTGCTTAGAGTGGAGCAGTCACTTTAGCCATAGCATTTAAGTTTCTTAAGAACTTTGACCAATGTTTAAGCATAAGCATAAAAAAATGCCTTCTACTTCCCATGCTTCAATCTATTGAGTAGATAGTTAATGATTACTCTATGTCTGCACTTATGAGGACCCATCCATAATATGTGACATCTTCTGGTTAAACTTCTTAGCAACCTTGCTGTATCAGCATTTTTATGATCTTGGATGCTGTGTTTCTATGAATATATGCCTCGGGGTAATTGTAGTGTATGCTTAACTTTTATATGCGCCCCCTAGATACCTAGTATACAGCATTAACAGGATTCTTCACTTTTTTCACTTGGGATAAATGAACTTGTGGTATTGGCAGATCTGCATTTCAGCGACAAATTTTCTGTGAAGAATACCATGCAGATGATTCTGGTTGGAGAGAGTGTGTTACATGTGGCAAGGTGAATTAATCGTTCCATGTGCCCTTCTCTGCCTTCATGTTCTTTTGCTTGATTTTTGTTTCCTAAGAGCCTGACTAATCTTTATTTGTGAAGCGACTCCACTGTGGATGCATTGCTTCATTGTCTTTGATAGAGTTGCTTGATTGTGGTGGGGTGAGGTGCATTAGCTGTGCAAGGAATTCAGGCCCTAGTTTGGTAAGTTGAGTCACTTACGCTTAGCCACCTTTTTTGTTTCTGCTGTTCGTTTATAGACAGTGTGATCAATAAGGAGCACTGGTGGATTTTTTAGATAGGGTAACGGGAGAATTTACTGTTGTGCGGTGTTTACTGGTACAGTGGTACGGTTCTTCAATTGTTATGCTTTGTGAACTGTCACAAGTTTCAATTTTTCAATGGTGAAACTATACTGCATACACAACTTACTATAACTTTTGCCTTTTCACTGCTCGTCTGCTCGGTATCCTGTTTTCCCATTTGATTAAAGTGGCTTGTCATGGGTGCTATTTAACCGCATAGTATCATCAATATAACTTTCATTTTTTTTTTTTCAGACCTTAAATTCTGGGAAATGTGAAGGATCTGGACCTTGCAATATGACAGAAAATAATGCTGGCCTGAAACAGTTTGGCAATTATAAGGAAATTAATGGGAGCAATCAACTATCCATGATGCAGAATCCCAACTCAAATTTAGCTTTTGGATTACTGAAACAAGAGGAAGTTTTGCTCTCTCCTGCTCAAACTGGAAGTACATGGATCTCAAACTTTACTCAATCTCCTATGGGAATTTTTCAGAAGGCTAGACCTGACATTTCTACCAATAGCATGCAAGCCAAAGATAACTATGGAGCTGTAGCTCACCCAAACCTGAATATCACTTTGGGTGTTCCAACAGGAACTCTACAAGCTACATCCAGCACAATCGTTGATGAAAGGGAACAGAGAAAGATGTCTGACACATTCCACCAAGGATTTGCACCTCAAAATCTTTTGCCAACACCACCAAAGGTGGCGTTTTCTCCAGCGTCGGACACAAATTCGAGTGTGATACCACAAATACGTGTAGCAAGGCCTCCTGTTGAGGGTCGAGGTCGTCACCAGCTGCTTCCTCGTTATTGGCCAAGGATTACAGACCAAGAGCTACAGCAAATAACTGGAGAGTATCCATGATGTTATTCGTTTTGTCTTTCTTTTGAATCTGCTATATTAGGTAGCTGAGTATTTCTGACTGAAATCCCCCCCCCTCCCGGGCAATACAGTCATTCCTTAACTTGTTACAAGTTCAAATTGTACAATTGTTCCATTGTTTGAAAAGGTTTTGAGTGCTAGTGATGCAGGTCGAATAGGTCGTTTGGTTTTACCTAAAGCATGCGCTGAAGTAAGTCTGCCTTGGTGGCTTTTAGCCAGTCTACTATGCATGGTTGTTCTTTTTTTTATTGACTAGTAGTGATAACTTGAGTTTTCACAGGCATATTTTCCTCCTATATCTCAACCCGAGGGACTGCCTATCAAAATTCAAGATGTGAAAGGAAAGGAATGGTTGTTTCAGTTCAGATTTTGGCCAAATAACAACAGCAGGATGTATGTTTTAGAGGGTGTAACTCCCTGTATACAGTCGATGCAATTGCAAGCTGGTGATACTGGTATGCTTAATTTCCTGTCTTCTTTGTCTTGATGTGCTCATTTATTTTTTTCCTGGAATATGTGTCCAAGATCTCACAGCCCAGCCAGTTCTGTATCTTGATTTTCTAGATGGATCCTGCTTTGTTAGCCATAAGTATGTTAACGTTTCTTCTTTTGCAGTAACTTTTAGCCGTATGGATCCTGAAGGGAAACTTGTTATGGGATTCCGGAAAGCATCAAACTCTGCATCTGTACAGGTAGTTTGCTTCATGTGGCAGGCCTTCACTGTGATGACATGCATGTCAGCTTACCTTAGAGAACAGATTGTCAATTTTTATGCTTAATCTGATCATTTAATATTGGTTTACAAATTTTTACCTGAGCAGGATGCTGCATCACCTGCCATCCGTAATGCCTCTCTTTCAAGTGAATCTTTCTTTTCGGGTGTTATTGAGAATTTACCTGTAATGAGTGGTTGCTCTGGCCTTCTCCAGTCAATGAAGGGGAGCACGGATACTCATATAAATGCTTTGCCAAGACAACTGGATTCTGCTGGTGGGAATGTCCCTTGGCATAGCAGTTGTAATGAACGGACTGAAGATGGAATGTTATCCACTTCAATGATGATGCTGGAAAGGAAAAAGAGTCGCAATATAGGCTCCAAGAGTAAGAGGTTGCTCATTGATAATCAAGATGTTCTGGCACTTAGATTGACATGGGAGGAGGTGCAGGGTATGCTTCGGCCACCGCAATGTGCAAGGCCTACTATTGTTGTGATTGAGGATTATGAAATTGAAGAATATGAAGTAAGTGATGCGTTAGTTACATATTGAAGATTATCTGTCACTCTATTATCAACACACTTAGATTTCTATCATGATATAGATATTTTGGCAGAAACTTGTAACAAAATGTCTATCATGGAAATTTCCTGTTTGTTTCCTATATTAAAATCTATTAGACTATTCATTTTCAGAAAAAAGGGTGAACATAGAGAAATTTATTTTATTTAATTTTTTAGTTTCAATGATCCTCTCATCAGTAGGGTAAATATTTTTGGATTTGTATTAATCTTCAGTATACTTGTGTTGCATGTGTTTCTTACAGGAACCTCCAGTTTTTGGGAAGAGCAGTATTTTCACAGCCCGTGCATCAGGGTAAAAAATTCGTCACTTTATTTCATACATATTAGATTTTTAAGTCCCATTTTTTAGCATGAATGATGAATATATTGTTTTGCCAACTGAAACTGCTTTTCTCCATCGGACTTCTCTTAAAACTTTGTATTTGGAGAAGCATTATTAGGAACAACCAAACAACTTCTGTGTAACAATGATATCTATTCTTTGTGCTGAAATGAACATGTTGGGTGTTTGACTTGAAACCTTCAAAAGTATTCAGTTGGCCAATAGTAGAACAAACAGTGTGAAGAGCGGAGGGAGTATGGTAGATTGTAGAAGGTAAAAATATGCAAAATATATCCTTTTAATGTGATGGGCTGATGACCTTTGGTGCCATTTTTTTTTCTTTCAAGATGATGGGGGTAGTTTCTATACAAGGTTATATATGAATATAAAGTTTGTTCCTCCTCCGTACTAGTGAATCACAGCAGATATCTGTATTATAATGGATTATGGATGATTCTCTTTCTTCTTCATAATGTTATAATCTCTCTCTCTCTCTCTCCCTCTCTCTCTCTCTCTCTCTCTCTCTCTCTCTCTCCAGCATGTCTACATGTATTCAAAAAAACACCCGGGGGTACACTCAAGCAAACTTTAGGTATCTCATGGTACCTTATTGTCACTAATCCCACCTTCTAAGATATAAATGGTGTGTGTAAGAAGAATTTAGAAGCTATACTCATTCTTACATCTCTTTGATAAATATTTAATTGGTGAAATCAGTTGTAGAAACAAATTTCTTTGTTGCACAGAAAAATTTTAAATTCCGAAAAGAAAAAGGTAGCAATCTAATATCCGGATGTATAACATTGTCAAGTCAAATTGTTGTCATAGCTGATGAGCCAGCCTCTTTGATGCGAAGTAAAACACTGTTGTAAACACATGGGTGCATACTTTCTGGCCAACCTCAAGGACTGAATGGAATTCCCTGAGTTATTCTAGTCTCTTAAGATGTATTCCCTTGCTTGTTCAGGTGTTTTCTCTTCTCAGTTATGATAAGGAGTTTAGGCTTCAGTTAAGTTTACTTGTTTTTCTTCAAAACCCCATGGCTCCTTTGCGATGATGCTAAGACTTGATTTAACTTAGATTTCAATTCACATCTTTTATATGTTGATATATAGGGTTCTTTCTCTCCTGAAATAATTATATCTATATGTGGAAACTGGGTCTAGTTTCATTTTCCATGAAAGTAAAATTTTTTCAGATTCAGATTCTTTCTTTTGACAGAGAATCATATATTTGGCTCTGCAGTCTGCATACTCTATCCCCCCGCAACAAACATTTTTGGGCTTGCTGTTAGCTAAAGTGTGGTTTGGGTAGTAATTTTAGTGATAATTGTATTTAATGTTCAAGATGGTATGCCGGCCATTATGATTTACCTTTTTTTTTGCTCTCATTTGTTTTTAATTGAAGCCATTGATGATATGAAAGATCTTTGCATGATTTACGATGGTATGTCATTATTGTTGATTAATTTTATCCTGACATGCATCTAATTCAGGGTAGTGGAGCAGTGGGCTCAATGCGACAATTGCTCTAAGTGGTGGAGATTGCCTGGTGACATTTTACTTCCTCCTAAATGGACATGTGCAGATAATGCTTGGGACCAGAGCAGGTTGGTAATTTATGTATTCATACACTCATGCATACAATTAGGAACAAACAGCCAACATGCTCTACAAAAAGAGCAAACTCATGTGTGGGATATACAAGCCTATAGATGACAACACATTTCATTTGTTGTTGTAGGTGTTTTTGCTCTGCTCCAGAGGAGTTAGGCCCCAGAGAACTTGAAAATTTTCGACATCTGAATAAGGGTATGGACTGCTATTGTTGTTCCTATGTATTACAGTATTAGCATGTTGGTTTATGAAAGTTCATCTTTGTATCTTGCCTAGTTATTCTCTGTTTCCTTGACGCTCATGTGTGAAAGATATATATATATTTTATTATTATTATTTTTTTTTCCTGTATATAAATAAAAATATAGTGCGATGACTTAGAGACCTAGAAGTACCAGCTTAAACGGAAGTAGATATTTATGTGATGATGGACATTTCTTTGTCATATTTTTCTCCTGTAGATTCGACGAAGAGAAGAATGGTGATGGGTAGTCGAATGGCACAGGAGCAGGAATCTTCTGGCCTCAATGCTCTAGCTACTGCAGCAGTTTTGGGAGATAACACTAATGATCCAGGTACTTCATCTGTTGCAGCTACCACCAAACATCCAAGGCACCGCCCTGGTTGTTCTTGCATAGTATGCATTCAACCACCTAGTGGGAAAGGGAAGCACAAATCAACGTGCACTTGCACCGTTTGCATGACAGTTAAACGCCGTTTCAAGACCCTAATGATGAGGAAAAAGAAACGGCAATCGGAACAGGAAGCTGAGATTGCCCTGAAAAATCACCAACAGCAAAATCCTAGCAAAGATATGAAAGCTGATGCGGAAAAGAACAAGCCTTACCCGGAGAGTCAGCATGAAACTGAAGATGACTTGCAAGTGGGTCCTGCTCAAACTAATGATGGCCAAGGACAAAATCCAATCAGTTTGTTAACTGAAAGTGGCAAGAGCCTCGACCTGAATTTCCACCCTCAGCGTGATGAAGACTTAAAGATGAAGCCTTCTCAGTCTAGTTTGACGAATCTCCTTCAATTAGCAAGTTTTCCTCTGGAGGCGTACATGAAGCAAAGTGGTCTTGCTAGCTTGACAGCTGAGCAACAAGCTAGTTCTACGTCGTTTACAGGACAAGCTGTTGGAGAGATTGGGGGAAAAGTCGTCGATGATCATCCTCTTAGTCCTCCGGAACAAGTGAATCTGAGTAATGGAAAATGTGAACCAGAAAATAAACAACAGTGTGATCATTTGTGATACCCTCTCTTGCCTTGTAATTTACGTTTCCTTGAAGAGCAAATTCTTTTATTGTTGTAATATCATTTTTCTTGGCATATGGCCTATAATTATTTAGGCTAAAGTTTTTTTTTTTTTTTTTTTTTTTTTTTTTTTTTTTTTTTTTGTAACATATAGTGTTAGCGGGGATTTAGGAATTGTTTGAACTCACACAAACTCATCAAATTAGATGTACAAATCGTAAGAAGATTCTACAAGGATGTGAAGTTTCAAGGTATTACTTTGGCCGTGCTTGCCTAAATTTCATCTCTCTTAAAATTCGTCTCTTGAAGTCAATCAAAGCACCCTATTTTCTCATCCACTAATTCCAAATTTTCATCCAAGTCGAAGAAATGTGGTAGGCAGTACGTGCTAAAGGTGAAGACAAGAATTGCAAAAACTATTCCATTGCTTTTACAGGTCTAGGAAGTGTAAAGAAGCTAGCCTCGATCATCTAAAATCAAGCATCCATGAAGGAAATTATCGAACCTCCTATCATCCTATATTCTTATGTGTACTTGTTAGCAGGTCATGTATTTGTTTCCCCACTCTCCGATTAATTACTTGTGTTAGGGTGGTTAAGAAAGTAAAGCGTAACCTTAAAACAGTACATCCGTACTCAAAAGTTACTGTCGAACAATTCCAAAAAGTTTCACGTCGAGCTTGAATTACCTCAAGCTTGGCCTTGGCTTAACTTGTTAACTGTTAATAACCCCCAAGGCCATAGTTGGCCATAGTCCCCAATATAGAATCACTACATCAGCAAAACTGCCGAAATGTTCCTTGGTTGGAATGTTGGGAACAGCTGCAATGGCGTCCGAGGTCTATTCTTCTTCATGCGTACTTTCCAGAACCTTCCATTGTTGTATTCAACTTTAACCAAGGAAGGTAACCCTACTTCTTCTTCTTCTTCTTCTTCTTCGTTGCCCCATTTCTTGGTTAATTCTCTGGGTTTTACCAAGTATTATTCACTCACTACTGCTGCTAAGCTCGCTGATAAAGTACCAGAAGGGAAGATTGATTTGAATTTTGTTGAAAATGTTGATTCTGTAATTCAATTCTTTAATCAACTTGGGTTTCAACAATCTGATATAAGGAAATTGCTTGTCGTGAACCTCGGATTTTAGTTTCTAGGGCTAGGGAAACGCTAAAACCTAAAATTAAGACTCTTAGTGATTTGGGTATTTCTGGGTCTGATCTCGTTGAAGCTATTGTGATCAATCCTTCGATTTTGTTCCATAATTTGGGTCCTGCAATGCAGGCTTATAAAACTGTTTTGGGTAGATATGGTGATGTTGCTACAGTTCTGAAGCAATCGAGTGGAAGTTCTTTTAGTTGCGCTGCTAAGTATTTGATTCCGAATGTTGAGTTGTTGCAAAATTATTGTGTCATTCCTACTGAAAAAATCCAGAATTATATTATTCAGCACCCTAAGAGCTTTGCAGTGAGGACTGATTTGTTTCGAGATATGTTAATTAAGGTTGAAGTAGAGTTGGAGATTCCTTGGAGCTCATCAATGTTCTTGTATGGCATCCACATGATAACTTGTGTTAGTGATAAGGATATCGAGGATAGATGTGAAGTGTTTAAGAGCTTTGGATGGACTCAAGCTGATGTCATGAGATTGATCAAGCAAAATCCATTGTGTTTGTGTTATACGAAGGCAAGGATCAAGAAAAGATTAGACTTTCTGATGAACCAACAGGGTTACGAGCCATTTTACCTGTCATTGCAACCTTTATTATTCATTTGTAGCTTGGAGAAAAGGTTATTGCCAAGACTACGGGTCATACAGATTTTGAAGGAAAAGGGGTTTTTAAGGAGGAATTACCATCTTCCTAGTGCTATTGGCATGACTAACTATTTGTTCTTCAAAAGGTATGTTCGTCCATTTGAGGTAGTTCATGAAGTTTATGCCCAACTGATGGGTTCCACTGTGGGGTCGCTTTTTTCAAGAGGCCAAAAGCCAATGGTGTCATTGAATTCCAATGCTGCTTGATGGTATCAGGGATGTTAACTTTGAATTTGTCATCAAATCAGCTTTCATTATTCTTGCAATATCATTTCCTTGTCCAAGTAACACTCTTACCTGTTGAAAATGAATCAGAAAAGGTTGTTAGATTTGAAATTGTAATTGGGAAGGCTTGATTGCAAGATATTACTTTGTTCTGAGCAATGAGTAGACTTTTAATGTAATTCTTGCAAAAGGGGCTTGACTTAGATCTTTTGCTTAAAGGTATGGGAGTTTGTATTTGGGTTTTCCCATATGTATCCCTTTAGCAATCCTTCTGAGCTCAAGACCAATGTTAAAATTACTAGAATTTTGTTATAGTTACTAGAATTTCAGTAATAGGTGGTTGTTACCTGGAGTGTGGACTGTGATGCCTATTTCAATCTTAGGGGAAGTTGGTTTTATCTAATTGCCAATACGAGGTTGTGTTGTTCTATTTTCCATACTAATGTTATACTAATTGGATCTTATGTCACACAAAAGTGTAGCGTTCTTCTATATGCTTATGTTTTAAATGCTATTTGAACTTTGAGTATCTGCTTAGCAACAATATTGAAGCTAGAGACAGACAAACTTTCATATCTCAACTTGTGAAGCTTATGCTGCTTTCTAGTGCCTGCACTTTGCATTGCTATCTATCATATAAATATATTTCACCATGTGCATGGGTGAGTCTTTACTTGCCTCCCATAAACTAATTTGTCCTTAAACCAAGGTTTATTTTTTTGAAAGAAAGAATGGTTTATTTAAGTTTTTGGATTTACTTATAACTTACTTGACATTTTGTGGTGTCTTTCTCTTTCCCTTATTTTGTTTTGTTTGAATGTGAGGTATCATGCTATTAAAGTAAAATTGTAGTAAATGATTTATCTTTTGTTTCGTAAAGGAAGTTTAGTTCATGTAGTGTTTCTCTATCTATCGTGTTGACTACTGAACCTAAGTCCAGGTTTGGAGTAAACTACAAGGTAGATTGTAAGCCAAGGTTTTTTTTTGCCAGAAATCTGATTTCTGAACTGCAATTTTTTATTTTTTTAGTTGAACATTAATGCAGTAATATACAGTATAACATATGTACTACAAAGCCAAGATGAAAAAGAAAAAATAAAAACAAAAATTAAAGCATACAATAAATGTATCCTGCTTCCTTGTATTGGGAGTGTCATTTTTTTTGGTCAATGATTACTTGTATGTAGCAGGCTCAAAAACCCCAGTTTCCTTGGTATATTATCCAATGTGCAACTGTTTCAGCACTGGAACCCTTCCCACTTCTATATGTTGGTTCACATTGTCTCTAAAATCTCTGAAAAGTGTTCACTCATTTTGAAGGTGATATCCTTTCCAAAACAAATGTGCATTTCAGATGTGTTGAGTTTTACAAGCAGAAAACAGGAGGTTGGAAGCTGTTGGAACTGGTGCTTTGTGCAATTGAACTTCCATAATTCATAGTTTTGCAGATATTGTATTAGGTTTTTAGTTGTGGTTTAATTTTCGTGTGTGTGTGTGTGTGTGTGTGTGTGTGTGTTGAGGGGGTGGGGGTGGGAGGGAATTGGGAGAATTGGCTTTATTGAATATTTGTACTCATCTGGTGCACATCAGACTATTCACCTAAAGAACTGGTAAACACGTCAACAGGGTAAAATCTGAGGGGATTTGAAAAGGGGTGGGGTGGGGAGGGTTGAGGGAGCTATTGCTGTCCCTTGAATCCTTGATTCTGTTCACATGCACTTCTTTTATGTAGTGTGGCTTAATCAGGCAAGTGACAGAAATCTAAATATTGATGAGAAGTGATCCTGATTATAATACTTGAATACTTTGTATTATATAAAAAATATTCCAGTGCACCATTTATATATCAAAACAATTGTCACTTTATGGTACTTTCAATTGTCAGATTATGATACATCATATGAGTTTTAATTATAGCTCAAGCAATTATGTTTTTGATATGTTTGTTTCATACTTCTGCTCTTGGGACCTATGTAAATCTACATATATATGTGTTACATGTGTGTCTTGTAGGAACCTCCAGTTTTTGGGAAGAGCAGTATTTTCACCGCTCGTCCATCCGGGTAAAATCTTCATCTCTTTTTTTTTTTTTTTTTTTTTTTGGTTGCATTTTAGAATGTTCAAGTCCTACAAAGGAAGTATGTTTTAGCATGAAATTATTGCTTAGCCAACTGAACTGCTTTTTCCACTGCAATCTGAAACTTTTCTTAAAACCTCATATATGGAGAAGCATTTAGTGTAGCAGTGCCATCAATTTTTAGAAATTACAAAATGAATATTTTAGGTAGTTGACAAGCCTACAAAAATAGGTAAGTAAACAATAGTGGAACGACCATTGTGTATATTGTGAGAAAGGGTACAAGGGAATAAGATTGTGGAAGTTGAAAAAAATGCTTAATAAAACAATTTTCTTATTTTAGAGATGATGGAGGTAGTTTCCATACAAGGTCTGGATCTGATGATAAGTATTTGATTGGTGAAATTGGTTATAAAATCAAACTTCATTTCGTTGCACAGAAATATTTTTAGTGTGGAAAAGAAATGAAAGCAATCTAACGTATTACATTGACAAATCAAATTGCTGCCGACACTGATTTGAGAAGGTCTCTTAGATCCAATGTAATATACTTTGTCCTGGTTGCATACTTAGTAGCCAACCTGTAGGACTGGAAGGAAATTCCCTTGCTATTTTAGTGTTTCTCGAGACAATATCCCTTGCTTATTCAGGCTTTTTCTCTTCTTACTATTGAAAAGGATTTTGGGCCTTCAGTTAGCTTGTTTTTCTTTAGTAATCCAGAATCCCAGGCTCCATTGAGTCAACTAAGTTTTCAATTTCTTGTTTCATAGGCTGAGTGTCTAGTTGCATTTTCCTTTAAAGTCAAATATTTTGATTCAGATTTTTTTTTTTTTGACATATATATATATATATATATATATATATATATATATATATAATGATATGTATGGCTGTGAAATATTCTGTGTTTCGCCCTACAGTCTGCACACTATGTCCTCCCTGATCAAATATTTTTGGGGCTCCAAAGGAATAATGCCCCAAAAAACTTTGAAGCCTTCGACGTCTGAGCTAGGTTATGAACTCCTATTGCTCTTAGTTTCTATGTGTTAGCTGGTTAGTTTATGAGAGTTCCATCTTGGTTCTGAGCCTAATGTACCTGCTTAAATTAGAGATGGATCATTTATGTGAAAATGAGCATTTCTTTGACGCATTTTTTCTCATCAAATCCCTATCTAATTGCATAGGTTCTACAAATAGAAGAAAGGTGGTGGCTTGTAGAATAGCAACGGAACAGGAATCTTCTGGCTTCATGCTCTAGCTACTGCAGCAGTTTTGGGAGATATTACTAATGATCCAATCACTTCATCTGTTGCAGCTACCACAAAGCATCTAAAGCACCCCTTTCTGGTTTTTTCATGCATAGTTTGTATTCAACCACCCAACGGCAAGGGGAAGCACAAATCAAGCAGCACATTTAAACGTTGGTGAAAAAGAAACGACAGTCAAAAACATGAATTGGAGATTATCCTTATAATTCATCAAAGGCAAAATCCTATTAGAAAAATGTTCAAAGCTGATGCGGAAAATAATGACAATCTCACATTTAAGCATCAACACGGACAACCCCCACTCCCAAGCTAGTGAAGTTGGTTAGGCTCGAATTTGTGATCTCAAAGTCACAAGGTGAATTCCCTTTCAACTCCACTTACCTTGATTTGTACAACCCACAGCTAAATTGTACCAAGTACTTCGGTAATATAGTGTACTCATTCAGACTTCCAGTCTCATAATAAGTGTATTCGTTTACACGATGATTTCAATACAATCCTTTGACTACCAATATTTTTAGTTACGAATTAACAAAATTATATACCGTATAAAAAGTCGATGTCTTACATGACCACTATTTTTTTACGGCATTGTGTTTTCGTACTTTGGGTAGAGGTGTAAAAATCCAACAAGACCTGGAAAAAACCCGATGTTCATTTTCATCCGTATAGAAGCAACAATTTAGTGTGACTCAAGTTTGAAATTGAACCTGATCCAACCCGGTATCACCAAATCCAACCCAAACACCTGAGTTGACACCTCTAATTTTGGGACGAAAGAGTATTGAGTTCAGGTTTAAATAGTAAATTCAATTAATCTAATTAAATTCATGTAATCAGCACTCAGCATTCCAAATAGTAACAGGCCAATAATAAAAGAAGGTTGAGTTCATCTAATGAAAACGAACTACGAAGTATACAAAATGATGAAACTTGGGTTCAGCTCAATTGGCACTGTCAATGGCGTCCGATGCCTCTACAGCTACTTCTTCCTGCCTGGTTTCCGACGCATTTCAACATCTTCTTCATCAAATGAAGGTAATACTTCGTCTTCTTCATTTGCGAATTTCTTGGTTGAAAATCTGGGGTTTTCCAACCACCAATCTCTCTCTACTTCCGCTACACTCGATAGTCGCCGGAGAGTTGGTGGGGCGAAGCTGCCTATTGATTTCAATTGGGTTGAAAAGGCTGAATCTGTTATTCAATTCCTTAAGCAAATTGGTTTTCAGCAAAATGATATTAGGAAAGTTGTATGTCATGATCCCCAGATTTTACTTTCTAGGGTTAGCCAAACCCTAATACCCAAAATAAAGGTTCTTAATGAACTGGGTTTATCTGGGTCTGATCTTGTTCAAGTTATTGTAGGAAATCCTTTAGTATTGCGCCGGAATTTGGGTCCTGCAATTCATGCTTTTAGGACTGTTCTGGGTAGTGATGAGAATGTTGTTCGGGTGATAAAAATATCGAGTAGGGTTAATTTTAGTCATGCTGCTAAATATTTGATTCCCAATGTTGAAATGCTGCAAAGTTATTGTGGAATTTCTGGTGACAAACTCCAGAAACATATTTTTCACCGGCCTAGTATTTACTGTATGGAGACGAATTCGTTTCGAAAAATCTTGATTAGGGTTGAAGAAAAGTTAGGGATCTCTCGAAACTCTGCGATGTTTGTTTATGGAATACAATGTGTCACTACATTTAGTGATAAGAATATCTACGATAAATATGAAGTTTTTAAGAGCTTTGGATGGACTCAATCTGATTTCATGAAATTGATTAGGCGAAATCCTTTGTGCCTGACATCAAACGAGGAAAGAATTAAGGATAGATTGGATTTTCTGATAAACCAGCTGGGTTATAAGCCGGATCACCTAGCATCCCAGCCTCCGTTTTTCACTTATAGCATAGAGAAGAGGTTATTGCCAAGACACAAAGTCTTACAGGTTTTGAAGGAGAAAGGGCTGATAAAAGAGGATTACCATCTTTTAAGTGCTTCTGTCTTGAGTGAGGCTAAGTTCTTGAAAAGGTTTGTTTTTCCTTTTGAGGAAGTGCATGAAGTTTATGCTCAGCTAACAGGCTCTATAGTTGAATCGCTTGTTGCAGGAAGAATAAAAGGCCAAATCTGAAGTCTGAAGATGTCATCGAGTTCGTTACCAGTAAGGTTGTTATTAACTTATTGTTAGACATTTTTAATTGGGAACTTTTGATTGCAAGAGCATTACTTTGTTGCTTAACAATAAGTAGATGTTAAGTTGTGTGTATTTTATGGCGTGGGAGGGGATAGATAATTAGATACCGAGTTTCTTACTAAAAGGTTTGGGATTCAGTGTATTCGGTGTTTTGCATCCATGTCCCTTTTCCCGATCAATGTTACAGATGCCAGAATTTTATTAATAGATCGTTGCTTTGTTAACTGTTATGACAATTTAATTGGGAAAGTTTGCGTCAATTATTAATAGTTGATAAAGGGATGTGTAGCTCTTTTCCAAACTAATCTTATAGAAGCATATTTTAGTGAAAGTTGAAATTGTAGTATCTAATATGAAGTGCTAAAACTAATGACAGTTGCTATTAGCCTAGTTTCAACTTATGGAGCATTTACTGTTTCCATTCTTTCTCTAAATCTCCAGTGGTTGGACTTAACGTTTGATTTCCTGTAATCCTTCTATCATTATTTGCTTAGATAAAACAAAAAAAATGATAAGTTGATGTTTATACTTTTCTTCTAAAAAATGATGCTGTAACCACCTCGCTGTGTATATTATATTAGGTTTGAAAATCTCCTTTTATTCCAGAAAGATAGTATAAGTCCTGTTAACTGCAGATCATCTTATGAACAGTATTAAAATATAATTCCAAGCAACTCTGTTATAAAAAAGGATTCTCTTAATTGTGAGGGAGATTGAACACCTGGGAAACAACTTTAGGTGCATGCATATGCATCCAACTGCAAATCTTATGCTTCTTCCCTTAAATATATTTATCTTTCCATTAGAAACCATCACCATGATGTTCTTCACAATGGCATAGAGGGAAGGCTGGTCAATATAAACACCAGTGATTTTTTATTTATTTTTTTCTTAACCATTTGGTTATGCAATACCAAATTAACCTTTACCTGTGTATACCATTATGATAAAATTGTTTTTTAAGAAAATGCGTTATATTAATGGTGTAGAGTCTTAAGTAGCTTTAGTATTGATACCTACATGTCTTTGTGAGTATCTTCTGATATACTACCTCCATTTTTATTTACTTGACTAACATTCCTAGAATGAAAATGTCTGTTACTTGACCCATACTGTATTTGAATATTTAATACGCTTTTGGTAGAGAGATTCTCTAAATTACCACTACAAAGTGCATGTGGACATTATTTTTGGGGGTAATAAGGTAAATCATGTGCACCAACTGTAATGTTTCTCTCTTGATCTCCTCTCCTTTGAATCTTAAATACTGTACCAAATGCTATGGGTCAAGTAAATAGAAATGGGGGAAGTAGTTTTCGCCCCCCACAAAAGCATCTATAAATTGCAATAGGTCAATGTTCTTGTATAATAATATAATATTCTGTAATTTATTGTTTCTTGTGTGGGACTATACTCGATATCACCTACAGCAAAGTTCCAGTATCATATGTCCTGTGGAAGTTATATATTTTAGAGTAACAATTTTTTTGTGGGTTAGTTTAGTGTAATTGAGCCTTGTGTTTAGTAACAATTTTTTAGAGTAACAATTTTTTTTAGAGTTTGAACATAAGGGATTGTTTCCCTTCTTTATGCTTGTGTTTGCTTCCTTCTCTTATGAGTAATACCATAAGTCAGATTTGACCATGAGTTTGTTTTATATATAGATTTACATACAAATATACAATTGTTTGACATCACTCATGTATCTTTGTGACCTTTTTTATAATTTTTTGTTTTTATGGATTTGATGGCTGTGTTGTTAATTGGTTGAATTAAAATTGAAATTTTATGTGTTTTTGTAAGATTATGAAGTAAATTTGGTGAATTAATGTCAAATTTCAGTACGTGTCTGAACTCTGAAATATCATGATAGATTAAAGAAAATGGGATCTATCTATGTGTTTTGTGAAGGAAGTTTGGTTTTTAAAGCGTTTCTCTGTCTATAGTATGTAACACACTGGATCCAAGCCCAGCTTTTGGAGTCAACTATACACCACAACCACTTTATAAACAAAGGTATTACTGCAGATTTCTTATACTGTATTGATTTTGTTCAAATTTAATGCAGTTGTTTCTATTTTTTTTTCAAGATTAATACAATTGATAGCATAAAATACAGGTAGATTATTTTTGCTTTTAAAGTAGCCTTTTTATTGTCAGTGTAGAAGGCTCAAAGATCTTATTTCTCTGGGAGGATTTTTGACGCTATATCCATTTTCCAATGTGCATTCACTTAGGGGTCAATTGGTTGGATATTTTTGAATGGGTTGGAATGAAGTTAGATTCCATTCCATCTACTTTGTTGTTGGTTGAACTTTTTAACTATGGAAACCCATACCAAAGGGGATCTAACTCTACCTCACCCTTATGAGTCATACCTAGAGTTGTCAAAAGCTGCCCCTAACTGAATAATTTGCCCAAACCTTATTATGACCCGATTTGTTTGAACCTGGAAAAATGGTGACCCTAACTTGATATGACCTGACCTAAAACCAACCCTAGACACGAGTTAACCTGAGTATTTGAAACTCGAACCCGAACATGATCCGATGTGGAGATGACCCAAGCTTAATATAATTCGTAAATTATTGACCTTAACCCAACCCAAAGTAGAAGAAAGGCAGTGGCCTGTAGAATGTCGCTGGAACAGGAATCTTCTGGCTTCATGCTCTAGCTACTGTAGCAGTTTTGGGAGATAATACTGATGATCCAAGCTCTTCATCTGTTGCAGCTACCACAAAGCATCCCTCCAGGTTTTTCTTGCATAGTTTGTACTCGATTACCCAACGGGAAGGGGAAGCACAAATATAGACGCACTTGAACTGTCTGCCTGACTGTTAAACGTTGGTGAAAAAGAAACGACAGTCAAAACATGAAGTGCAGATTATCCTGATAATTCATCTAAAGCAAAATCATAACAGAAAAATGAAAAGTTGATGCGGAAAATAATGACAAATCTCACATGTAAGCATCGGCGCGAAACTGAAGATGACTCATAGGTGGTTCCTGCTCAAAGTAAAGATGGTCGAGGTCAAAATCCAATTAGCTTTTTATCCGAAAGTGGCAAGAACCATACCAATAAAGGAAATGGTGCATTTACTATGATGTTTCAAATATGAAGAAATATTTTGTAATTATTTTATTAGATAGAAAGCCTAGCTACACGTCGTGTGTGTGCACATTATATGGAATTTCAATTCAGGATAAAACATAACATTAATTTGCGGTATGCAAACAGTCAAAATTAGGTCTATTGCAAGTTTGCAAGAGTTATACTTTCGCCGTTCTTTATACTTGATCCGCTTTGACTTTTATATTATTCACCACCCCTCTTTTGACCGTCTTTTGTGAATAATAGGTAAGGAAAAACATATTCATATAGGATCTTTTCGAATTCGTCTCAATAGTTACTATCATAATATATAACTTTTATAATTTTTATTTATGGAAAATTAAAGTTAGTGACCGTTAACGTTTTACATTGACAAACATGATAAAGAAATTAGGTCAAGTAAAAAAGAATAGATAAATTATTTAATAAAGATTTTTTTATTTTGAGTCCAAAGTAATGTGATGGCCAAAGTGGCTGGATTTCTTTGTGGCCATCACATTACTTTAAGGTATAAGATGTCATATGCGGATAGAGGTGTTAAAATTTGACTATACTGATCCAGTTTGAAACTGACCCATACATAAGTTAATTCTAACTAAGACTTGTATGAACACAATAATTTAACATGGTTCAAAAGTATTGTATAGTGAATTGCTTCTTTGCAAGACATGAAGGTGCTAGGAGGTGCCATGGGCTGCTGGGAGCAACACTTTCCTAAAGCACTATGGGTCATCTTGATTAATTTAGAATAAGTAAAATTCCCTAGATGAATCCTAAAAGGTTCACCTTTTTAATGGCCACAACTGACAACTTTTTATTTTAGGTTAGATGAATAATCCTATTGATCCAGCATCTTAGCCGTTTCATAGAGAACTCTTATTTCTATTTTTCCCAAGTTAATGTAGTTGGTTGGGCTCAAACTTTTGATGAATTCCCTTCTAACAATCCACACTTTGGTAATAAAGTATGCTCTCCCAATTCTATAACAAAAGTGCTACTCGTATTTCATTTAGCACAGCAATCAAGACAATTTTTTGACTGACAATATTTTTAGTTACGCATCAACGAAACTATATTCTGTTAAAAATAGTTATGTCTCACATGAGTACATGATCACTGTTTCGACAAAAAATTGCCTCTCCGAGACGTGAGAGGTGAGAGGCTGTTTGTGGGCCTCGAATTTGTGCTTCGAATTTAGCATTCTCAATGATGAAATTTCGGTTCAGCTCCAATGGCACTGTAAATGGCTTCCGTTGCCTCTACAACTACTTCTTCCTGCCTGGTTTTCGACGCATTTCAACATCTTCTTCATCAAATGGAGGTAATACTTCTTCTTCATCTTCTTCATTTGCGAATTTCTTGGTTGAAATCTGGGGTTTTCCAACCACCAATCTCTCTCTACTTCCGCTACACTCGCTAGTCGCCGGAGAGTTAGTGGGGCGAAGCTGGCTATTGATGTCAATTGGGTTGAAAAGGCTGAATCTGTTATTCAATTCCTTAAGCAAATTGGTTTTCAGCAATCTGATATTAGGAAAATTGTATCTGATGAACCCCGGATTTTACTTTCTAGGGTTAGCCAAACCCTAAAACCCAAAATTAAGCTTCTTAATGATCTGGGTTTATCTGGGTCTGATCTTGTTCAAGCTATTTTAAAAAATCCTTCAATATTGCGCCAAACTTTGGGTCCTGCAATTCATGCTTTTAGGACTGTTCTGGGTAGTGATGAGAATGTTGTTCGGGCGATAAAAAACTCGCATTGGATTCATTTTAAAAAAGCTGCTAATTGTTTGATTCCGAATATTGAGTTGTTGCAAAGTTATAGTGGAATTTCTGGTGAAAAAATTCAGAAACACATTATTCGGCACCCTAGTATTTACTATATGAAGACAGATTTGTTTTCGAAAAATCTTGACTAGGGTTGAAAATAAGTTGGGAATTCCTCCAAATTCTGTCATGTTTTTTTATGGAATACAATCTGTTGCTCTATTAAGTGATCAGAGTATCGACGATAAATGTGAAATTTTTAAGAGCTTTGGATGGACTCAATCTGATGTCATGGAATTGATCAGGCGAAATCCTTTGTGCTTGACATCAACAGAGGAAAAGCTTAAGGAAAAATTGGATTTTCTCATAAACCAGCTGGGTTATAAGCCGTATTATCTATCATCCCTGTCTTCGTTTTTCACTTATAGCATAGAGAAGAGGTTATTGCCAAGACACCGAGTCTTACAGGTTTTGAAGGAGAAAGGCCTGATAAAAGAGCAATACCTTCTTTCTAGTGCTTCTGTCTTGAGTGAGGCTAAGTTCTTGAAAAGGTTTGTTTTTCCTTTTGAGGAAGTCCATGAAGTGTATGCTCAGCTAACAGGCTGTACAGTTGAATCGCTTGTAGCAGGAAGAGCAAAAGGCCAAATCTGAAGATGTCACTGAGTTCGTTCTAATGCTGCTAGATGCAAGTCAGTGCATAAGGTATTACTGTAACATTCATGACTTATGTATGTTGGAAATAACCGCGAAAAATAGCCCTTTACCATACCGAACCCTAACCAGTAAGGTTGTTATTGACTTATTGTTAGACGTTTTTAGTTGGAAGGTTTGATTGTAAAAGCATTACTTTGTTGCTTAACAATGAGTAGATGTTAAGTTGTATGTATTTTATGAGAAGGAGGGGGGGGGGGTGGTGGTTGGCACGGGGGACATACCGATTTTCTTACTATAAAGTTTGGAATTCAGTGTATTCGGTGTTTTGCATACATGTTGTCCCTTTTATGTGAACCTCTGATTTCTTGATCAATGTTACATATGCTTGAGTTTTATTAATAGATCGTTGCTTAGTTGACTGTTATGGCAATTTAATTGGGAAAGTTGGTGTTAATTATTAATAGTTGATACAAGGATGTGAGCAAGGAAACCTTCGACATCTGAGCAAGGGTATGAACTCCTATTGCTCTTAGTTTCTTTTCTGTTTGTGTTAGCTGGTTAATTTTTGAAAGTTCATCTAGGTTTTGAACCTTTTCTGGTAAAAAAATAATCTTCTTTGGAAAAAAAAGTCCTAGCAAGTTATTGGGTGACGAGTTTGCTCATCATTTTGACTAGTATGTAAAATATCTGCATTTGCGTTGCACGTCATCTCCTGCTTGCATCTGCTTCCTTGATGTTCTATCCTGTCTGTTTATTTTCTTATTGTCTGATGTTTTTGTGAGAGAGAATTTCTTTTCTCTCTTTCTCCCCTATAGATGGAAAATGACCTGTTTTGTGCAATGTTTTTTAGTATAGAAATTAAAGAAAAATCATTAGTGGGTATTAGAATGACACTGGAACAGGAATCTTGTGGCTTCATGCTCTAGCTGCTTAAGCAATTCAGGGAGATAACATTAATGATCCAGGCACTTCATCAGTTGCAGGCTTGCAGCTATCACCAAGTATCCACGGCACCCTCCTGGGTTTATTTATGCGTAGGATGTATTTCAACCACCTAAAGGGAAGAGGAAGCACACATCAAGATGCACATGCACTGTCCGCATGATTATTAAATTTTGCTTCACGAGGAAGAGGAATTGACAGTCAGAACAGGAAGTGGAGACTACAAAAAAGATGTAAAAAGCTGCCGCGGAAAATAATGACAGATCTCACCTTAAGGCTTAAGCATCAGCATGAAACTGAACATGACTCACAGATGGATCCAACTTAATTTAAAGACGGTCGAGGTCGAAATCCGATTAGCTCGTCGGCCAAAAGTGGCAAGAACCATTGGAAAAAGGAATAGTTATGCACTTATGCTTATGCAATAGTGAAGGGTAAAACATGTCAACGCAATGATGCATTAGTCTTGTGTGTGCACTGTCTTGTAAAGGAGAGATAAAGTAGTTTGATACGATAGTTTGCTAATAAATCTACAAGGTGAAATTTTTTAAACTTAGAATTTTTTTATTGACTTTTAGGCTAACTTAGTAACTTATACAACTTTGTCTATAATAGAACTCTATATTATGTAGGATATTGTTACAACTTACACAGTTTCGAGTAGAATAGTCTTGAACTGAATTGAATATATGTCTAGACCGTAAAAGCCCACATGTAAAAAAAATAAAAAAAAATTTAAAAAAAAAAAAAAAAAAAAAAAAAAAACCTCTTAAGAAGGCCTAATTGCACATGAAATATTGAAATCATGAATATTGAGTTTGTCACAACACAACACACTGTGCTTCATGATCCTAGCTAAAGGTAAGACATCTTTAATGTGGAACCCAAACATTATTAGAGGTTTTTTAATTACCTCTATAGTGACATCGTAAAGTCAAGCTTATGGTGCACTCAGAAGTTGTTGTTCGAATGTTGGTTGGAGTCGCTCCAACTAACTCTCCACTATACATATTTTGCAACTGCAGGGCCCTCAATTCCTGACGAGATTGGGAGGTCGTTGTTACTCATTGCTATAGAGAGGCAAACCTTGCAGCCAACTGGTTGGCAAACTATGGTGTGACAACGAAACAGAAATTGGTACTGTTTGAGGCGATCCCGAAGAATCTTCATGCCCCGTTTTATTAAAGGACTTGAGTGGGTGACTTGGTCGCGATTGTAGCCTATGGATCGAGGAGTAGTGTAGCTTAGCTATGGTTTAGCTATTGGTTTAGGAGCTTGGCTATGGTTTAGGAGTTTGGTTTTCTTTTTGTTCTGTTTTCTTTGTTGCGTTAGTTTGATGCTTGTAGTTGTTTGTTTTGTTTAGGGACTATGCTCCTCTCGTTAACCAAAAAAAAAATAATTACCTTTGTAGATTATTTCTAAATAAATAATACAGTCAAACTTTGACAAACATGTCAATGCACAAGTTTGACCTAAAATATGTATAATTAAATATTAGTAAAAAATATACTCCGTAATTAAGTTTTCTTTTTTTTTTTTTTTTTTTTTTCCGGATTTTTCACCAAATACCACTGAGTTAATGAATAATTCACCATATACCACACAAAATTTTCTAATTCACCATATACCACTGAGTTAATGTATATTAACACAGAATGCCTTTTTTGTTAACTGTCGTTAACGCCGTTAGTAATTAAGTTTAATTATACCACGTGGCTGTCACTTATTGGCTCTTATTAATATTATCTAATTAATTAGTTAAATAAAGAATTAAAAAAAACAACCACCACCTCCTCACTCCACCAACCCCGACACCCCCCCCCCCCCACCAACCCAGCCCCCTCCCCGCCGACGGCCTTGCCCTGCCTCCTCCCTCGCCGGCACTCCGGAGTTCCCCCTACTCCTCCATCTCCCCTTCCCGTCCTCCTCCCAAAACACCAAAAAAAAAATTACCACCACCATCCCTGCCCCAACCCGCCAGCCTAAATTCTCCTCCCTGTGCCAACGTCGCACCTCCTCTAGCCGTGCGCTGGCACCGCCCGTTACCCAGCCTTGCGCCGATTGCCGCCCCCTTCCACTGAACCACAAACTCCCCTCCCTCCCGCATCAAAATCACCAATAATTACGCCTTTTCGCCACCCAACTTCAGCAATTTACAACCCAAATCAACACCCACATCAATGAAAACTTTGAGAGAAAGGAGAACGATTAAGATACCTAGAAGACAAATTATCCAGCCGGAATCCGACCAAGCCCCCCGTCGACGCTCCTCCCCTTCCCCTAAACCGCCGTGCGCACATCTCTCACGAAAACCCTCTTCTCTGTCCGTTTCTCTCTTCAGCTTCCCTTTCTCTTTGGTTTTCGGATAAGGTGCTGGCTCGGGTCAGGGTTGTCGCCGGCGGGAGAAGAGGGCAGTCGCTGGCCATCTGGGAAGTGGCTAGGAACGAACGGGATTGTCGCCGGCAGGGGTGGCGGTGGCTTGTATTGGTGGTGTTTAATTTTTATTTATTTTTTAAAATAATTTTTCTAAATTTAATTAATTAAATAAATAATATTAATTAAAACCAATTACAAGCTGCCACGTGGCACAATTAACGTTAATGACTAAATGAGTTCGCGGAATGGCATGTTGTGACATTTATGTTAAACTCAGTGGTATATAGTGAATTACGCATTAACTCAGTGATTTTTGGTGAAAAATTCGATTTTTTTTTTTTTTTTAAAGAAAGTTAATATTATGAAACTTTATGTTAATATTATTTGAAAATATATTTCATGATGATAAATTTTGTTTTTTTTTTTTTATACATTATTAGTCATTATTAGTTAGTACGGAGTAAGAGAAAGTCAAACATTTCAATTTAGGAGTAAAAATCTTTGTGCTAGCACCATGTAAGAATTACCCCATGAGTATTCATTATTCAGCATTCCATATGACTTCATTTTGAAAACGAAATGTTGAAATTTGGGTTTAGCTCCAATGGCTTCCGATGCCTCTACAACTACTTCTTCCTGCCTGGTTTTCGACGCATTTCAACATCTTCTTCATCAAATGGAGGTAATACTTCTTCTTCATCTTCTTCATTTGCGAATTTCTTGGTTGAAAATCTGGGGTTTTCCAACCACCAATCTCTCTCTACTTCCGCTACACTCGCTAGTCGCCGGAGAGTTAGTGGGGCGAAGCTGGCTATTGATTGGGTTGAAAAGGCTGAATCTGTTATTCATTTTCTTAAGCAAATTGGTTTTCAGCAATCTGATATTAGGAAAATTGTATCTGATGAACCCCGGATTTTACTTTCTAGGGTTAGCCAAACCCTAAAACCCAAAATTAAGCTTCTTAATGATCTGGGTTTATCTGGGTCTGATCTTGTTCAAGCTGTTGTTAGACATCCTGTAATATTGCGCCAACGTTTAGGTCCTGCAATTCATGCTTTTAGGACTGTTCTGGGTAGTGATGAGAATGTTGTTCGGGCGATAAATAATTCGCATTGGATTCAATTTAGCAAAGCTGCTAATAATTTGATTCCGAATGTTGAGTTGTTGCAAAGTTATAGTGGAATTTCTGGTGAAAAAATTCAGAAACACATTATTCGGCACCCTAGTTTGTACTGTATGACGACAGATTTGTTTCGAAAAATCTTGACTAGGGTTGAAAATAAGTTGGGAATACCTCCAAATTCTGTCATGTTATTTTATGGAATAAAATGTGTTGCTCAATTAAGTGATCAGAGTATCGACGATAAATGTGAAATTTTTAAGAGCTTTGGATGGACTCAATCTGATGTCATGGAATTGATCAGGCGAAATCCTTTGTGCTTGACATCAACAGAGGAAAAGCTCAAGGAAAAATTGGATTTTCTGATAAACCAGCTGGGTTATAAGCCAGATTACCTAGCATTCCAGGCGTCGTTTTTCACTTACAGCATAGAGAAGAGGTTATTGCCAAGACACCAAGTCTTACAGGTTTTGAAGGAGAAAGGGCTGATAAAAGAGCATCACCTTCTTTCTAGTGCCTCCATCTTGACTGAGGCTAACTTTTTGAAAAAGTTTATTTTTCCTTTTGAGGAAATCCATGAAGTTTATGCTCAGCTTACAGGCTCCACAGTTGAATCACTCGGTGCAGGAAGAGTAAAAGGCCACATCTGAATTCTGAAGATGTCATCGAGTTCGTTCTAATGCTGCTAGATGCAAATCAGTGCCATAAGGTATTAGGCCTGGTTAAATTTTAGATTTTTTTTTTTTTTCACATAACATCTATCAATATTCTCTCAGTATCATTTCCTTGTCCGTGTTACAGTCATTAATTATGTATGTTGGAAACAAACTCGTACGGTTGCTATTAACTTATTGTTAGACATTTTTAGTTGGGAAGGTTTAATTAGCCTATTTTCAACTAATGGCGTCAATACATGTCCCTTTCTGTTAAATTTTTGTGATAATTTACACATTTTTATAAATAATGAAGAAGTTTGTATCATTTGCCCCAAAAATATGGCAACACACAAGCATTAAGAAAAAAGGTAATGTTTGGGATCTCTACGGAACAAAAAGATTGCATAATAGGCTTGATAGCTCATGGGAAAATAGGCACAAACAGGAGTGGTGCAAAGTGGACTGCAGACTACAGCACGAGAATTGAGCATGATGCTTGGGTACTTTTAGTATTTCTAACAGTGTCTAGGAAGCTGAGGCAAATGCCTGCATCGAAGCTCTAAATTGGAGCCGAGGAATAGGGTTTCTTAGAATTTTAGTCTACTCTAAGTCTCTGACTCCAGTAAATTAGTCTCCATTCTACGTAGCCTTCACACATGGGATATGTCTATTCACTGGATTATTGGGGCAATCAACCAGCAACCGGTTTGGGACAAATATTCAGGTTTGCAATATTCGATAAGTTGAGAGATCTAATAGCTAACAATTGTCGTGCTTGTTTCGCTCTGCTGTCTGCACACTCTACCCAATCATCAAGCATTTTTGGGGCTCCAATGAAATTAGGCCCCAGAGAACATGGAAACCTTCGACATCTGAGCAAGGGTATGAACTCCTATTTGTTCTTAGTTTCTATTCTGTATATATGTTAGCAGGCTAATTTGTGAAAGATCATCTTGGTTTTGAGCCTTTGCTTGTAAAAAAGGTTCTTTGAAATAAACCCTAACAAGTTATTGGATGACTGAGTTTGCTTGCACATCATCTCCTGCCTGCATCTGCTTCCTTATTCTATCTTGTTTGGTTATTTTCTTTATCTGATATTTTTGTGTGAAAGATTTATTTTTTCTCCCCTATAGATGGATATTGGCCTGTTTTGTGCAATGTTTTCGAGTACTGAAATCAGAGAAAAATCAATTTTGGCTAGTAGAATGACACTGAAATAGGAATCTTCTGGCTTCATGCTCTAGTTACTTCAGGCACTTCATCTGTTGCAGGCTTGCAGCTATCACCTAGGCACCCTCCTGGGTTTATTCATGCATAGTTTGTATTCAACCACCCAAAGGAAAGAAGAAGCACATATCAAGATGCACTTGCACTGTCTGCATCACTATAAAATGCCACTTCACGAGGAAAAGGAATTGACAGTCAGAACAGGAAGTGGAGACTACAAAAAAGATGTAAATGCTGATGCAGAAAATAGTGACAGTTCTCACCTTAGTTATGCCTCACAGATGAATCCAACTCAATCTAAAGATGGCCGAGGTCTAAATCTGATTAGCTTACCATCGGAAAAAAGGAATAGTTATGCTTATGCAATTGTAAAGTTGTCTTGTTTGTGCATCGTCTTGTAATGTTGTATTAGTCGCGCATTCAAGCGCAAGTATTGTTTGGAATATGAAATTCAAGACAACAAGAATAACAAATAAAAATAAAGAACTTTATTTTCTTAGTTCCATTATATTATCATGAGATAAAGTTTTAATATTATCCAGAAGCAGTTCAGAAACGATACTATTAGTTTATGGGTATTTAATGCTTGTATTGAGAATTTAGATATTTTAACTTTTTAAGGGAAGATTGTAAGTATCAAATGACTATTATAGTATTACTCCTTATTTAGTAAATCACCTCCTCATTCCATTTAAAAAAGAAAAGTTTTAAAAATGCACTTTTTTTAATGACTACACCTAAGTTGTATTGCCTCCATATTTTTATTTGAACGGAGTAACTATTTGACTTGGGTCAATTTTTTGTAAACTTTGTCCGTTAAAGAACACTATTTGTAATTTCGTCTTATGTGTTTATTTTCGAAATATTTTGTAAGATATTGTTATGACATACGAGTAGAATAATCTTGAAATGAATATGTTTCTAGATTGTAAAGGCTAAAATGTTAATTAAAATAAAACACAAAATAATACTCGTACAAAGACCTAATTGCACATGAATATCAATTTTGCCGTTTGTCACATCCCGACACAGTGGTATTCATAATCTTAGCATAAGCTATAAGGTGATGCAACAATTACTATTTTAGAAAGTTTCACAAATATTACAATATTCCTGCATTTGTATATGTTTTCTCTCTTTCTTGTCTCATTACAGTCTCTCTATATTTATTCGGTTATTCCTCTCTCTTTTACTTAAAATTCACGTTCATCAGTCTGTCACCCTAATGCAATATTTATGGAACGGAGGAAATAATAGGGAAGCGCCGAAGCGCTAAGGTATTACAAGTATGAATCACCCCACGAGTATTCTGCATTTCAAATTTCTTCACTTTGAAGTTAAAACAATTTTAAGTTCAACAAAATGTTCCCTTCAAAAAAAAAAAAAAAAAAAAATAAAAGTTAAAGAAAATGATGAAATTTGGGTTTAGCTCCAATGGCTGCCGGTGCCTCTACAACTACTTCTTCCTGCCTGGTTTTCGACGCATTTCAACATCTTCATCAAAGGAAGGTAATACTTCTTCTTCATTTGCGAATTTCTTGGTTGATAAACTGGGTTTCTCCAACCACCAATCTCTCTCTACTTCCGCTACACTCGCTAGTCGCCGGGGAATTGGAGGGGCGATCAAGTGGGTTGAAAAGGCTGAATCTGTTATTCAATTCCTTAAGCAAATTGGTTTTCAGCAATCTGATATTAGGAAAATTGTATCTGATGAACCCCGGATTTTACTATCTAAGGTTAGCCAAACCCTAAAACCCAAAATTAAGCTTCTTAATGATCTGGGTTTATCTGGATCTGATCTTGTTCAAGTTGTTGTTAGAAATCCGTTAGTATTGCGCCGAAATTTGGGTCCTGCAATTCATGCTTTTAGGACTGTTCTGAGTAGTGATGAGAATGTTGCTCGGGTCATGAAACGATGGTATGGGGTCATGAATCGATGGTATCGGGTTGAATTTTATGATGCTGCTAATTATTTGATTCCCAATGTTGAATTGTTGCAAAGTTATTGTGGGATTTCTGGTGACAAACTCCAGAAACGTATTATTCACGATCCTAAAACTTACTGTGTAAAGACCAGTTCTTTTAAAAACTTCTTGATTAGGGTTGAAGAAAAGTTAGGGATTCCTCGAAACTCTGGGATGTTTGTTTATGGAATAGAATGTGTTGCTGTATTTAGTGATAAGAATGTCTACGATAAATGTCAGATATTTAAGAGCTTTGGATGGACTCAGTCTGATGTCATGGAATTGATCAGGCGAAATCCTTTGTGCTTGACAGCAAACGAGGAAAGAATTAAGGATAGATTGGATTTTCTGATAAACCAGCTGGGTTATAAGCCGGATCACCTAGCATCCCACCCTTCGTTTTTCATTTATAGCATAGAGAAGAGGTTATTGCCTAGACACCGAGTCTTAGAGGCTTTGAAGGAGAAAGGGCTGATAAAAGAGCATTACCTTCTTTCTAGTGCCTCCGTCTTCACTGAGGCTAACTTCTTGAAAAAGTTTATTTTGCCTTTTGAGGAAATCCATGAAGTTTATGCTCAGCTTACAGGCTCCACAGTCAAATCGCTCGTTGCAGGAAGAGCAAAAGGCCAAATCTGAAGATGTCATTGAGTTCGTTCTAATGCTGCTAGATGAAAGTCAGTGCATAAGGTATTAGGTGATTTTAAACTTTAAAATTTTCATCAAAACATCAACATTGTCAATATCATATTCTTGTAGTGGGAATGTTTGACTGCAAGACATTACTTTACTGCTTAACTATGAGTCGAAATGAAGTTGTATGTATTTCAGTTGTTTAAAAAAGGGGTGGGGGGTAGATACCTGGATCTTTACTAAAATGTTTGGGATTCATTGTGTTTGGTGTTTCACATACATGTCTTTATGTGAATCTCTGATTTCTTGATTACATTGCTAGAATTTATTGAAGATGGTTATTATACTTTGTTGACTGCGACGACAGTTTCTAAGGAAAAGTTGTCGCTAATTATGAATAGTTGATACAGGGATGTGTAACTCATTTCCTTGCTAAAACATCTCTTGGGAACAATATTAATTCCCAAGTGACTATTGTGAAAATTGATTCTCTTACGATTGTGAGGGAGATTCAACACCTTGATCTAGATATTACTCGGTGTTAATAGGTGCATGCTAATTATTAATAGGTGCATGCAACTGCATCCAACTGTAAAGCTTTTGCTTCCTCCCGTGATCTAGATTATATTTATCTTTCAGTAGAAACCTTCACCATGATGTTACTTCTGCCTTCATCATGGCATTGAGGGAAAGCTGGTCAGAATAAACCACCAGTGATGTTTTTAACCATTTGGTTATGCGATATCAAAATATACTTTACCTGTTTATACCTTTCTGAAAAACTTGTCTTTTAAAGAGGATGTGACGATGCATTAATAATGGTGCAGTTTTAAGCTAGCTTTAGTATTGATGCCTATACGTCTTTGCATGTATCTTCTGATATATAAGTAGTATTTAACCCCACAAAAGCCCTATAAATTGCAGAAAATCAATATTATAGCTTCCTGTATGGTGTTCTGGAATTTATTGTTTCTGCCGAGGATTATATTCGATATCACCTGCAGCAGAGTTCCAGTTCCTTAGGTGCTGTGGTAGTATTATTTTTTCAGAGTAACAATTTTGTGTGGGTTAGTTTAGTGTAATTAAGCCTTGTGTTTAATAAAATTGTTGGAGTTTGAACGTAAGGGATTGTTTCCCTCCTTTATGCTCGTGTTTGCTTCCTTCTCTTATGAGTAATACTGTACTCTAAGTAATACAAGGTCTTACGAGTAGGATTATTTTGCAGTTATGTATTTGGAGTAGCTTTCTTTTGTCAAAGTTCTTGTATACAATAGGCTCAAAGATCTTGATTCCCCAGGGATGATTTTGAGTCTTTATCCATTACTATTGTACAACTACTTAATTTTCACAAGAACCTTTTGCACTCTGAATCTTTGGTTCATATGGTCTCCAGAACCTCTGAAAAGTCTTAGTCAAGTACAAGCTATTTCGTGTTCATTTCCTTGTTGAAATGAATGTGCATTGCAGATGTGCTGAGTTGTTCCCCTGAAGATGGTCCTTTGACTGACAGAAGTCTAACTAGCAGCTGTTGGAACTGGAGCATTGTGCAACTTTACTTTTTTATTCTCTGCTGAAGTATTATTGTATGCTCCCACTGATAGTTTCTGTCTGTATTGGTTGAATTTGCAAATAGCTGACTTGTAAATATTAAGCAACCAAGTTAGTAGCAAAGCGTTGTTGGATGGCCAGCATGTTCAAACTTCATAGATGCTTGTGAATTATCGTCCCATACATAGGAGATTGACATAACAATAGCTTTATGATGTTATTGAGCTTTAGTTTTATATGAAGTGCTGGTGATTAACATTCAATTCTCGTTTAAGATTGTATTTGAATCAGGCATATTTAGTGTATCTTTATTTTCGAAATTTCTAGCCCACATCACTTGTTCTAATCTTCAAGTAATTGAAATTTATTTTGATATAATATACTTGTAATCAATCTATACTTTATATTTAAGATTGATCTTGGATATTGTGTATTCAACATTCAGGTACATAATTTATAGCTTGGCATGATACAGTGTATACTTCATCTTTGTAAAGCAAAGCAATGATTAACTATTCAATCAATCAAAGATTAAATGTCTTTATTGGATAATCAGCAGCAGCTTCATTGAGAGGTTGATGATGAGGTGAGTAATTGATGTAGTCCAAAGAAGGGTCATTATAGATATCCCACCATTTGTTCACCAGCATTATTACGTCTTCTCTGTCCATGTTTTCTACCTTCCCAGTGTACCTTCATGCCTTCGACCCTGCCGCGCATTAGTGCACCACCATATAATTTGGATGCCAATCACATGGGCATTACCATGTTGTACTCTTTTGGTAGTGCCTTGAACTTGTCCTTGAAGTATTTGTTCAAGAAGTCCTGGATCATATAATTTTCCATCAACCAGATTATTATTGAACTTGTAAGATTTAAGTAAAATACTCTATATAATTTTCCAAATCCAGTTCCAATGATACTCGAAACTGAAACTATAGTAGATAATATTAGGACCGGTTGAACCGGTTTCAATTTCAGACTCCTAATTGTAAGACCCGGTCTCAACCAATTACGGATATGAGTCCTAAAGTTTTGATCGGATACCCGGTTTGCTCACCCAAGTAGCGGTTAAAATGTTAACTTTACAAGAAAAAAACAAGTTCCATGTAATATTTCTTACGAAATGCTCGAAAAACAAAAAGATGAAAATTTGGTACAACTTTATGTCCAATGGCAGTGTCAATGGCTTCCGATGCCTCTACAACTACTTCTTCCTGCATGGTTTTCGACGCATTTCAACATCTTCTTCATCAAATGAAGGTAATACTTCTTCTTCGTCTTCTTCATTTGCGAATTTCTTGGTTGATAAACTGGGTTTTTCCAACGACCAATCTCTCTCTACTTCCGCTACACTAGCAAGTCGGCGGGAAAGTGGACAAGCGAATTGGGTAAAAAATGCTAATTCTGTTGTTCAATTCTTTACGCAAATTGGTTCAGCAATCTGATATTAGGATAATTGTATGTCATGAACCCCTGATTTTAGTTTCTAGGGTTAGTAAAACCCTAAAACCCAAAATTAAGCTTCTTAATGATATCGGTTTATTTGGGTCCGATCTTGTTGAAACTGTTGTATGGAATCCTTCAATGTTGCGCCAACGTTTGGGTCCTGCAATAGATGCTTTTAGGACTATTCTGGGTAGTGATCAGAATGTTGTTCGAGTCATGAAACGATCGGGTTGGATTCAATTTGACAAAGCGTCTTATTATTTGATTCCCAATGCTGAGTTGTTGCAAAGTTATTGTGGAATTTCTGGTAAAAAAATCCAGAAATACATTATTCATCAGCCTGGTGTTTTCAGTATGAAGACAGACTTGTTTCGAAAAAACTTGATTAGGGTTGAAAAAAAGTTGGGGATTCCTCGAGATTCTAAGATGTTTTTTTATGGAATACAATCTGTTGCTATTTGTAGTGATAAGAATATTGACGATAAATGTGAAATTTTTAGGAGCTTTGGATGGACCCAATCTAATGTCAAGGATTTGATCAGGCGACATCCTTTGTGCTTGACATTAAAAAAGGAAATAATTAAGGAAAAATTGGATTTTCTGATAAACCAGCTGGGTTATAAACCGGCTTGCCCAGCTTTTCAGTCGTTATTCTCTTGTAGCATAGAGAAGAGGTTATTGCCAAGACACAGAGTCTTACAGGTTTTGAAGGAGAAAAGGCTGATAAAAAAACATTACCGTCTTTCTGGTGCTTCTGTCTTGACTGAGGCTCACTTCTTGAAAAAGTTTGTTTTGCCTTTTGAGGAAGTCCATGGAGTTTATGCTCAGCTGACAGGCTCTACAGTTGAATCGCTCATTGTAAAAGGCCAAACCTTAAAGATGAGGTCAAGGTCCAATGCTGCTAGCTGCAAGTCAGCGCATAAGGTATCGGGTGTCTTTAAACTTTAGAATTTCCATTAAAACGTCTGTTAATATTGTCTATATCATTTCCTTGTAGTTTGGTAGGTTTGATTGCAAGACATAGTTTGTTTCTTAACAATGAGTAGAAATAAACTTGTATGTATTTCATAAAAGGGGGAAGGGATAGGTAGACCCCGAGATCTTTATTATAAGGTTTGTGGTTCATTATGTTCTGTGTGTCACATACATGTCCTTTTTTTATGTGGACCTCTGATTTCTTGATCAATGTTACATTTGCTAGAATGTCATTGAAGATGGTTACTATGGTTTGTTGACAGTCTTAGGGAAGTTGCTGTAAATTATTTATAGTTGATACAGGGATGAGTAACTCTTTTCCTTACTAACATAGAAGCATGTTTTACCATAAGTTGAAATTTCAGTATTTACTTACCTACTACTTCATATTAGAACTAAAGACAGTTAGTTGTTATTATCAACCTATGAAGCATTTACCATTCCCATTCATTCTCTATATCTCTAGTGGTTGGACTTACCTTTGATTTCCTGTAATCTTGTTATCATTGATTAGCTTAAATAAAACTAGAACATGACAGGTTGATGTTTTGGTCTTTTCTTTAACTAAATGATTTTGTAACCACCTTCCTGTGTATATTATCTTTAATTGGTAGCAGTTGGCCAGTAGCTCAGTCTATATAAGCTTTTGAAGGCTTGAAAATTTACTATAGTTCCCGAAAGATACTATACAGTCCTGCTACCTGCCGCTCTTCTTGTGAACAGTGTTAATTCCAAGTGACTCTATTGTGAAAACTGATCCTCTTACGATTGTAAGGGAGTTTCAACACCTTGGTTAAAATGTTTAAATAAATGATGATTTAGGTGCATGCAAATGCGTTTAACTGTAAAGCTTTTGCTTCCTCCCTTGATCTAGATATATTTATCTTTCCATTAGAAACCTTCGCCATGATGTTACTTCTGCCTTCACCATTGCATAGAGGGAAAGCTTGTCAGAATAAGCCACCAGTGATTTTTTTTACCATTGGGTTATGCAACTAGTTTGATTTATCAAATTAAGCTTTTTGGCTTTTCCTGTATATGTCACATCCTGATTTAATTGTTTCTATTAAGAGGATGTGTTAATGGTGCACAGAGTCTTAAGTAGCTTCAGTATTGATGGCTATATGCATTCCATGTATCTTTTGATATAGTATTCAACCCCATATAAGAACCTATAAATTGCAATAGGTCAATATTTTAGCTTCCTGTATGATATTCTGGAATTTATCGTTTCTGGTGAGCAACAAATTTTCAGGAAAAAAAAAAGGTTCTAGTATCACGTGCTGTTGAAGTTGTATTTTTCAGATTAACAATTTTATATGGGTTAGTTTAGTGTAATTGAGCCTTGTGATTAATAAAATGATTGGAGTTTGAACAAAAAGGATTATTACCTCCTTTAGCAATTATGCTTGTGTTTGCTTCCTTCTCTTATGAAGTCAGCTTTGAGCATGAATTTGTTTTATTTAGAGAATTACATACAATTGTTTGACATCACTCATGCATCTTGGTGATCCTTTTTTTGACATCACTCATGGCAGTGCTAATAAATATTAATTGAATCAAAAGTGACATTTTACTTATTTTTGTGAGATTATGTAATAAATTTGGTGAATTAGTGTTAAATTTAAGTACATGCGTAAATCATCATGTTGATTATAAAAAAAAAAAAAAAAAGGGGGATTTATCACTTTGTTCTGTGAAGGAAGTTTATTTTTTGAAGTATTTCTGTCAACCGTATTAAACACTGTATCTGAGCTCAGCTTCTGGAGTAAACTATGAGCCAGATTATATAATCTAAAATATTATTGTCAGATCTATGAAACTGTATTGATTTTGGTCTAATTTAATGCAGTCAAAAAACAATTGATAACATAAATACGGAGTAGAATTATTTTACTTTAATGTACTTGAGGTTGAGGGGGTCAGAGTTCTTGTATTCAGAAGGCTTTGATTCCCCAAGGGATGATATTTGAGTCTATATCCATTATCTAATGTGCAACTACTTAATTTCACAAGAAACTTCTGCGCTTCTGAATCTTTGGTTCATATGTTCGCCAAATTCAATCTATTTCTAGCTGATTTTTATGTTGAAACGAATGTGCATTGCAGCTTGCAGGTGTGCGGAGGTGTTCCAAACATGGTCCTTTGACAGGCAGAAGACATGTTACTGGCAGCTGTTGGAACTGGAGCATTGTGCTAACTTTTCATTTGCTGGAGTATTGTATGTTCTCATTGATAGTTTCTCAGTATATTGGTTGAAATTGCATATAGCTGACATCTAATCTTAAGCCTCCAACTTAGTAGTAGCAAAGCATCGTTGGATGGCCGGCATGCTCAAACTTCGTACATGCTTGTGAATCATCGTCTTAGACATAGATCCCATGTCTGGTACAGGTACTGGAGATTGTCTTTACAATAGCTAAATGATGTTTTTGAGCTTTGATTTTTGGTGAAATGCTGGTGATTGACATTCAATTCTTGTTTGAATGTTTTTGAAACTCTGACTTGTTCTCATGCATATTTAGTGTGTCTTTAACTACCAATTTTCTAGTCCACATCACGTTATCAAATCTTCCCGTAATTAATTTATACTTCATATAATATACTTGTAATTAAACTAGATACGGTATTTAAGATTGATCTTTGATATTGTGTATTTAGCATACAGAGTACATACTTTTGTAGCTTAACATGATATATAGTTTATACCTCGTTGTATGCCTACTTTTTGGATCTTTGCCTTGTGAGTTACTGACTAAAACACTAGGAAATGACCTTAGACAAACGTCTTGATAGGATAATTAACAATAGGTTCAGTGAGAAATTGAGCTGAGGAATAATTGACGTAGTCCAAAGAAGGGTCATTATACATATCCCACCATTTGTTCACCAGCATTTTTACGTCTTCTCTGTCCATGTTTACTTCCTTCCCGGTGTACCTCCATGGCTTCGACCCAGTTGCGCAATAGTGCATCACCTTCACCTTGCTCAACTCCACCTTGTCTGGATGCCACCACAACATGGGCATCACCATGTTGTACTCTTTTGGTAGTGGTTTGAACTTGTCCCTGAAGTATATGTTCAAGAAGTCCTAGATCATATAATAATTTTCCATTCCAAATTATCATTGAGCTTGTTTAAAGATTCAAGGAACATATATTTTTAATCACAGACAAAAATTGTTGAATCTAGTACAATAAAAAGTAGTGAATTTGATTTGTGCCTAATTAATATTGTTTAATCCAATTTTCAATCCATGTTTAAAAATATGGTTCTTACAAGATTTGATCCCACAACCTTTAGTTTAAATTCTAAGGTGTTAGCCACTAAGCCATGCTATTTAATAATAATTAAATATAATAAAGATTTTTATCATGGAAAAATGCAGTAACTCGGGACATTGGTTGGGCCTAAAAAGTAAAAACTAGGTTTATGAAAATAACACAATTATTTTGCTAATAATACCTGCTCAGCAAAGCAAGTGGGAGGAGTCTCTTGGAATGTATTAAGCATGTCAAGGTAAGTGAGAACATTAGGCTCAAAGACGAAGAAGCCGGAGTTGAAGTAGAGGGGAGGAGGTGGTCCGAGCTCGGAGGTCGGCCACTCAACCTTCTCCGGAGAGTGCTGGCAATAACCAATCTTAAATTGAGGGGTCATTCCCCAAGAAGGGTCACAAAAACAGTCCAAAACTGAATAGAAATACCCATTTGGTAGATCAAACAAGTGGTCAATGTTCTCATTTACTTGCACTGCATCTATGAATATCATCTTCTCATACTCCACAAACTGCATATAACAAATACTACCTCTGTTAATGGTTATTTGCAACATTTACCAAAAAAGGGTGCTAACTATTATTTACAACAAACTTATTTCTTTCCTATGTTAGTAACATTTTTCTGTCAAAATGACCAAAATACCCTCACTTAAAAATTATTAGCACATAACACTACACATAATTACAAATTAATATAACCCTAATCTAACTTAATTATCTAAGCTTTTTCCCCAAAAAAAATCAGATCAATCCCTCATTTCATCTCCCCACCATCTCTCTCCTCCATCTTCATCTCTCATTTCATCATCATCTCTCATCTTCTTCGATCTTCATCTTCTTCCTATCTTCATCATCATCTCTCATCTTCTTCCTTCTTCATCTTTTATATCTCATCTCTCATCTCGTGAATTTCAGTGGATTTCGGCGGTTCATTTCGTGACTTTCGGTGATTTGTGCGGTTCGTGGGTTCTGGGTGGCGTGTGGTGGTGGCTCTGTGGCGTGTGGTGGTGGTGGTGGTGGTGGTTGTTCTAGGTAAATCTCCCTTCATCATCAAATTTCTTCATCTTCTTCCAAATATGTGGGTTTTTGTGGGTTTGGGTTCGTCTGGTTCGTGGGTTTGGGTTTGTGGATTTGGGTTCGTCTGGTTCGTGGGGGTGGTTTTAGGGGTTTCAGATCTGATTCGGTTTCGTGGGGATGGGTCTTCGTGGTGGGTGGGTCTGGTTTCATGGGTAGTCGTGGGTTTGGTTTAATTTTGTGGGGGTGGCATGGGTGGTTACGTGGTGGTGGCTTATTTGGTTTTGTGGTGTGGTTCTGGGTTTCGTGGTTATGGTTGGTGATGGTTCTGGGTTTCGTGGTTCTTCTGGGTGGTGGTGGTTTCCGATGGTTCTGTGTTTCGTGGTGGTTTTCGGTGGTTGTTGTGGGTTTCAGTGGTTTTCGGTGGTGTGTTCTGGGTTTAAGTGGTTTTCGGTTGTGTGTTCTGTGTTTCGTGGTGGTTGTCGGTGGTTTAGTAATTCTGGGTTTGGGTGGTGATATGCTTTTTTTTTTTTTTCAAGGTAGGATTAATTCTTAACCTAGTGCCCTTATTTTTCAATAATCATGCCTTAAAGTTTTGCATTGGCCTTCGCGAAAGGTACAATTGTTGCAAATAACCATTAACGGAGGAAGTATATTCAATTCAGTACAACTTGGTGCTACATGTACATATATATACTAATAAAAGTCTAGTGACGGATTTTGAATAAAAAAAAGTACGGTCTAAACCTTAAATTTCTACTAAAAAATATAACAGCTTGGGCCCTGTTCACTTCACCTTAAAAAAATAATATTCAGTAAAAATAATTTCAATTCAGTAAATTAATTTCAGTTCATTAAAAATAATCTCAGTTTAGCAAGAATAATTTCAGCTTAGTAAAAATCAGTTAACTTAAAGAAGTAATATAATAGAAATTCAGTAAATATAATTTCAGTTCAACAAAAATAATTTCAGTTTAGTAAAATTAATTTCAATTCAGTAAAAGTAATTTAAGTTCAGCAAAAATAATTTAAGTTCAGGTTAAATAATTTCAGTTTAGCAAAAATAAGGTGAAGTGAACGGGGCCTTTAATTATTGTGACACCACATTTTGTATTCATGTTTAAGCCAATAAAATCTTTATATCTAATACTACATACGTAACTCAAAATACAATAAAATTAGGGAGGAACCCTATAAGCCTCAATTGTATTTCATCCTTGAGTATAATGTAAATTGTGCACACTGAAGATATAATAGCACGATCAATTCGAAAATATCATTGAATGTAAAACCAAATTTTATGAAAATAATTAATAAAAATTGTTATAAAAATATACAAGCAGAAATTGATCCTAAGCAAAAAATTTATATAAGCATAATCTTCTTTCTCATATATGTTAAATTAAAAGGGGGAAAAAAAAAATCTATAATCAACCTTACCTTTTTTGTGCTCGTCTAATTTTTTTCTTCCTATTATTGACACTAACATTAGCATGCTAGGTGCAACATAATAATGCAACATATCTATGAATTTGTAGACTTTGTACTTTTGTAGGACCTATAAAATTTTCGTACGTGTAGGGGACCTTTTACCGGGGCTAATTAGTTATTGAACTTAAATAATTTTATTTTACTTATAAAAAACTATTGGGACATAGTGAATAGTGATTAATTTTGAACGAGTGATTACCGGCACAAATTAAATATTTCCGGCCAAGATCCGTCACTACGTGTAAGCAATAATTTACTTTACTGAAAAGAAAAAAAAAAGCGTACAAATAATTCTCAACAAATCGATGACTCCATTTTACCATATCACATAATTCGTATATATTGTTTGCATGATTCACGTGTGAAAGAAATTAACTGATCTTGATCCTCTTTACTTTGCAGTAATAATTAATTTTATTGAAATATCAGAAAAGTTTTCGATTGATCTGTATAGAGTTTTGGTGCATCATAGAAAAAATATATATCCAAGACATTATATGTTACATAAACTTTTGTACTACCTCCGTTTCTTATGTGTAACAAAAGGATATTATTTGTAAAACATAGAATATCTCTTTGTTGCACATAATAAGAAACAAAGGTAATAGTTGTATTACCTCCCAAACACGGAGCTTGGAATAGTTGATGACAAAGTAGGCACGAGCGAAGTCCATATGATTCTTGTCGCCCTCCGGCGGGTAGAGCGGTCGAACCTCCCTAATAACACAACCTTGAGCTATTAACAACCGGCGGTCCTCCTCTGGTACGTCAGGAAGCACTGCCACTACCAACGACGGATAGGCTGTCTTAACCTTCCTTAGACCCTTCACTACGCCTACCACCCCCTTCACGTAACCACCTTGGGCACCCGCCAAGAAGGTCACGTATGCATGTTTGATGCTCGGTTTACTTGATAACATAACCGAGTCGAGACCGAGTTCAGAGGCCATTAATGATTGAGATATTTGGCCAAAAATGATGAAGAATATGGAGGGGGGAGATTAGAGGAGTTCTAGAAATGACCACTTAGCTAGTTATGTATGTATTGATGTATTACTTAAAATCTTTACGAAGTAGAGACAAGTTATAATCCCTACGTCCAACCGACAAATCATATCTCACCGGTCCATCATAATATCCATCACGAAATTATTAGAAAATGATTAATAATAATAATACTCAAAATAAAATCCTTGACTCGTGAAACTTGATGGCCAACAAAATTTATATTTTTTAAATTTTTTTTTTGACGCATATATATTTTAATTTCAAAACATTGAATTGAATATTGGACATGAATTATTATTATTGTTATTATTATTATTATTATTATTATTATTGATAATAAAACATGAACCATACCATCATTACATACAATCAACATTCTTGTGGATGTCAAATAGTTTGATTGCATGTTATTTCAAAATATCTTATAAAAAATGGTCAAAATTTCTACCATGTTATTTCAATATACTGCAGTAGCTTTGGCTACATTTTAAATTAATTTACAGTATACAATATGTTTACAAGTAAGTTTTTATATTAGTCTCAATATATATTTTAGAAAAATAGACATTTTGTTATGTTGACCAATAAATAATTAAATACTTCATAAATCAACAATAGTCAAAATTGTGCAATGACAAGTAGAAAAGCTTGAATCGTTGCAATTTTGGACACAATGCACAAGAGAAGTCATATAGAAAACCTCAAATCTGATAAAGCAAATTCCTTATAATTAATTGATTAATTCCCATAATGTCGGATTTTTCTCCAAAAATTGACAGTATGTTAAGAGCAACTCCAATGATTGATTAGAAGGATGCTTGCTTACTGCAAATTGTCCAACGGAGTTCATTCCCTAAGGTAAGACCAAGTCTACAAATTGTCCAAATTATATTATATGTTTAATTGCACAATCAATAATAGAAGTTAAATCAATAATCAATTGTAAAATCTTACCAAAGCTGAAGAGAGATGTGGCCAAACCAGAGTCACAAACTCTTATTCTCCAACAGGCAAGAGCAAACTTGTCCAACTAACAAATCCAAACTACTTGGGCCACTTGGCCATACTTAACATTATAATACTACCTCCGTTTCATATTATTTACAACGATTTGATATACAGTGCGAGTAAAAATGTCAAATTGTTGCAAATAATATGAAACGGGGTAGTATTTTTTTTTTTGGAACAATAATAAACAACATCAAAAGTAGATTTTACAATAAAAAACATTGAAAGAATTAGAACCATTATTTGATAGTTCTCAAAATCTACAGTTTCGCCAAATCTAAATGGTCTGGTAACTATATACTCCCTTCGTTTTTAAATACTTGCTCCACTTTCTATTTCCGGCCATTTTTAAATACTTGCTCCATTTAGAAAGCTTTTACAATATTTAATTAATTTCTCTCACTTAGTGGACCCAACATAAATCATATTTTATTAATCTCATATTCTCTCCATACTTTTGCTTTTTATAATTTTTTATTCTTGCACCTACCCCACTACCTCCATATTTTATTACTTTCTACAAAATCTCTTAAAACTCCACGCATGGAGAAATGGAGCAAGTATTTAAAAACGGAGGGAGTATCCATGTACAATATCATGCACTCTATGCAGTTTATTTGTGACAGATTATAAGCTTCAAGGCTGATAAAATTATCAAAGGAAAATAAAAAATCAACAGCAAGCAAGCTTGATAAAACAAACATGTAGAACAAGTAAATAATTCGGGTGTATATAACAATCTCTCGTCAGTCTATCCGCCCCAAGCTTAAATACTCTCAATGATTTACAAGTAAATAATAGGTCAAGTGGAAATTAAGTTAATAGCTTAATATTACTGTGCATTATCGGAATCATATTGTTACATGAAGCAAAGAGATGCTACTAGATTACTAGTTCATTATATCATTATCGGAGTCATATTGTTACATGAAGCAAAGAAATGCTACTAGATTACTAGTCCATTATATCAAAGAAGAAACTAATCAACAAACAGCTAGGAGTACTCTCTGGTATTTCCCAGTCATATAATTGATCACTGAATTGAAGATCATTGATCTCATCCTAAAATACAATAAACGAACTATTATTGAATCTGCGAGGCTTTAGGAAAAACATTACATTTACGACAATGTTGGTCAGGTTAAAACTCAAATGATCCAGAATTAAATCTTCCTCAGGAGCACAGATTGGCAAGCAAATTTGGGCCAAAGATGAAAGAATTACAATTAAATAACATAGTCACATACCAAAATGTAGGCCAAGTAAAGCTTATTCGAGAAACCTTAAACTAAGTTCATAACTTTGCAATTTAGATGACATTAAACTATACACCAACTACTTTTATCATTCAACAGATAGGCAAGGCATACATCAATGGAATTGGATGAATGGAAATAATTTATCATATCACTGAATACATTTAAAAATAAATAAATAAATAAATAAATAAATAAAATAAATAAATAAGTAAAACAACTTGGGATAAAAAAAAAGAGTTAACGAACTTATAATTTAAGTACTAGAATGCAGTGCCAAGTTTGTGAACATATCAATTGTAAGGATACTTTTGAACTTCCTACAGAACAACCAAACTAGAATCTCGTGTCCGTAGAGTCAATGGTGGTGGTTCATATGAGAAATCATGGGATCATTAGCATCTTTGCCAACTTCCTGCTTCATGGGACATTATTGCATGGTCCCAAACCAATGCTTTATCTCTCGCAAAAAGATAGTCACTACTTGGTAACTTTCAAAAGATTTCACAAAAACTATATACTACCTTACTTTGCAACTAAGAAAATTAGCAATGCCATTGGATTTAAGAAGGGAATATTGTAAACTAAGACTTAGATGGTAGTAAACACACATATATACTTCCTCTCTTCTTTTTTAATTGACCTGTTTCTTTTATCACGCTTACTAATACAAAACTTTAACATTAATAACTGTAATTTTTCATAAGTAAAGTCATAAAAGTTATATTTTATGATAGTACTTATTGAAACGAATTCAAAAAGATCTCACATGAATATATTTTTCCTTACATATTATTTACAAAAGATGGTCAAAGGAAGGATGATGAATAGTGTAAAAGTCAAAGCGTGTCAAATAAAAAAGAACGGAGGAAGTATGTAATATATCAATGGATTATTGGAACTCAATGAATATATACATACTAAGCCCAATAGTAAGTCTAAACAACCTTGCATTGGAATCTTGAAGAAAACTCGTGGCATCTTTAAAAAGCCTAAACAATACCAAAGCTTGTTCTTAACCAAACAAGTGTAAAATATATCATCCGTACACGGAAAAAAAAGCAACATATATAGAGTCAATATATGGCAAACCACACAAGGAAACATAACATATGAAAAAGGCAGTTCCTAGCACTTAGTTGGAACGATGCGAAATAACATAATAGGTTCTTAATACACAGATTTCATTGAAAACTAACTCAAATTAGATCGTCCATCTCAATGAAATGATTACACCAGTCGGGAATGTGGGTAGACGTATCAGACAAATCGCCCCAATCAATATTCTGGCCAGAAGTATCAGCCAAATCCCCCAATCCGTTGAATATATCGCCCACATCCCCAGCATCCTCAATGAAATACTTCAAAAGCCTGTCCACTTCGTCCTCTGTCATTCCAACAGCATCGGAAGCAAAACCCACAGCAGTAGGAGAAGCACTCGCAAATCCCACAGAAGTTGCAACAACATTAGGCGCATCCACAGATACAGGATCATCATTTGGTATTCTTGCAGAAGTTGCATTGTTAAGTGGAGTACCCATAGAAGTAGCAGTAATGTATGGAGTACCCATAGAAGCTGCAATAGTACTTGGAGAAGCCACATTAGTAGCAGCAGCATCAGCAACGAGAGTACCAATTGGATAAGAAGCACTTGGAGCACTCACAGACGAAGTTAAAACAGAACCATCAGGGCTATCAGCAACACCACCACAACCCGTATCATGCAGCACAAGTCCAGATTCTCTCTCTGGCACATTAGTATCATCGGTGTCGCTGTCCCATTCTTCTTCCACAAATCGAGCCCCATAATCTTCCCCATTCTTTGGACCTAACCCACTTTTTTCAAATATTTTACAAATGACATATGAATCTTGTGGCACACCTTTGTCGGCAAGCATTTTGTCATCCAACCTAAACTCATGCATTACCCAATTAGTCCTTTCCCCTTTCGGAGCCTTCCCTCTATAAAATACCAAAGTTTTAATCTTTCCCACAGGACGAGAAGCATACATTGCAGTCCTATCATTCCCTGTTGACTTCCAATATCCCCATTCAGTAGCCCTATTGGCCTTACCTCCATTAGGGTATCTCTTTACTCGAGGGCAGAAGAAATACCAGTTCAGATCCTTCGTTTTAATACATGCCATCGCAGGAAGATCCCACGGGGCAAACCTATACACATCAACCTCAGAAATCATCTGGGGACCCAGAAATTTACCCAAAACCTTCCTCTTCAAATAAAACATGAACAACTCCTCATCCGTGGGGCGAAATCGAAACCCCGGCGGACAAGACTTACTTCCTAACAATCCTTCCATAATTCAACACTAGCAAAAGTCCCCTTTCTTATATTAAGATCAATCTACTTTCGAAACCAGACGGTTTCTTTTTATTAATCAATCTATTTTCCACAACCACTAGTAATTCAGAGGCTCAAGAGCAAGAGCAATTGCAATATGCAACACAATAACCAAGCAAGAGATCAAAGATCGTAACAATAATCAAAGGAGAGAAGAGAGATCAGAGATGAACAACTCACTCTCCGATGATTAAGTCAACAGCAAATAATTACGAACCCCACCACCAACGTACTCTCTTGAAGAATGAACAATCAAACAAAAGAATCCACAAATTTTTCTTCTTCAGATTGATAATAGACATGGATACCTGGAATTTTCACGATCAACATATTCAATCATCAACAAAGATCACAACTTCCGCTCAGAAAATCCCCAAAAAAAAATCAACAAAAACAACGCCGGTCAAAATTTGACTCGATCATCAATCAAAATCGAAAAATCACATAAACTTCATTTTTCACAATAATATCAACGTAATTTACAATAGAACAATTCAAACCAACAGATCAATAATCAATCTTAGACGACCCTAATTTGACAATACGTACTAATAAATCAACGACAAACCCTAGATTGAGATAATGATATATTCAACGATTAAAAATAAGGTAAAACAAAAAAAGAACAAGATGCTACCTCAAAGCTAGTCGAATGGAGAAGAGAGAAAATTCTCAGAAATCGTACGAGGAATTGAGAATACGAGCTTCAATAGAGGAGAGAGAAAACATGAGACTGCTGCGTAAAATTGAAGCTCCGGTGAGAATAAAAGGAATATATATGGGGACGCATCAACTATCAACCGTTGATCTAAATGATATTGACGGTCATAATGGGTCTTGTTTACGGTTTTAAGTATTGAAAGTTTATTCCCTCAAAAAAAAAAAAAAAAAAAAAAGTATTGAAAGTTTATCTACTACGAGATCGTAGATTCGTAGGCCAAAGTGGACTCAAAAAAATACGAGAGATTTGTTATACCTGGGTGCACCGTACATCTATGAACATTTTATTCTCATTTTTTATGATTGTTTTTCAATTATCCATCAAACGAAGAGCAAAACTAAGCCTGGGTTATTTAGGTGTACGGTCTCATTATATATTTTATTAATATCACGTTTTTATAATGTTTACATGGGTTGATGTATATAGACGTTTTAACATGCATTTTGGAGACCGTGCACAGTCAAATATAGAGCCAAAAAAAGGTGGGGGGACAGAGGGAGTAACTATCTAGATTGTCATACCACAAGACAGGTTACATTTTCGTGTGAAAATACCGAGGTGTTTGGTTGGAGGGATGGAAATAAGAGGGATGTATAAGAAAGGTGGATAATGATAAATTGATAGTGGGATAAGGATAAATAATTTTTTATCCCATGTTTGGTAAGTATGGAAAACAAATTAGAAATAAGTAATAAATTTATAAAAATATTCTTACTAACTCCCACCCTTTCTCCTTACCCTTTCAATTTCAATAAAGGTATTTTGGTCTTTTAAAACTCATTTCTTATCCCTTTCCCTTATACCACCCCTCTTAGTTATAGAAATGAAGGGATAAGTGGGTGTTTTTATCCCTATCCCTTACCCTCTTATAATCCCATCCCTCTAAACAAACACTATATTTCTTCTATCTTTTTTGTTTGTTTTTTTTTATCCTTGTCCCACCCCTTTTATCCCCCTAAACAAACACTCTCTACAAGTTAATCAATGAAGAAAACAAAATATGTTTATCATAATACTGTAGCTCATTATTACAAGAACGCAAGATTAACATAGCTCGTTGTACACTTGTACTAATATATCAACTAAGGCTCACAGGAGTTCCCTATAGATGTCATTAAAGATTAAGGGTGATGTGAATAAGAAAATATTCCAAACTAAAATTAGTAGAAGAATTCATTTTGTGATAGTGCAAAGTTTAAAAAATGGCTTGTTACTTATTCAAGGATGGAGGTGATACATAAAAGAGTACGTCTCAATTCAAAGTTTCAAGTGATGACAAAACAAAAACTCGTAAGAAATTGAATTTTTTTTTTTTTTTTTGGGTAAGTGTAAGAAATTGAAATTTATACATTGGTACAGTTGAGGTGAGGCATAAAAAACACAGTCGGATACTTGATAACGAAAGACAATTTTAGCAAATGGACTACTACTCTACTACCAAGGTTCAAGAAATTAAGAATGCAACATGACAAGGAAGAATAGCTTTTGTGGTTAGTCGCAAATTCATGCATTGGGAGTTTTCAGCCGAGATCCAACTCCCGTTCTTCTCACCTAAATTTGACAACTTCAACTAATGACCCTTATCCAACCAAGAGTAGCAATGACATACAAAAACAGATTAAAATCGATATCAATGAGAATCAACCAAAGTAAAGTAATACAAAATGATAGACGCGCATTAAAAAGAGCAAACTATTCATTTAAGTTGTTTCTTCTGATGCTTCAGTATTGACTCTGGCATCATCTCTCAATGAAAAATGTAATTATCAAAAATTTTGATGAATACAAAATGTGGTTTCAAGTCATGCTAGTCTGAGTAAAGCTCGCTATATCCTGTAATATAGCAACTGCAAGAAATCAACAATGAATGTATCAGGGTGTATACTATCTTCTACAAATCTGTGACAGTGATGAGGAAATGGATCCAAATCGTTCTCGACTATTATTTTCCATTTGTGGCAGAAAAATCTGGAGAAGGGAAAACAAGAACAGATATCCAAAAGTTTCAAGTCCTTGTCCCCCCAGGTGGTCAGTGATGTATCCAAGCAATTTTCAAAATTGAACAGCAACTGCAACTAACAAGTGCCTAAAATTTACACGCCACGCCGACCATATGCAAGAATATGACCAATCATATTATTCACCTGAAAAAAAAAAAACAACAAAATGAGAAATTTTTGTCACATGAATTTCCATAACCAGTTTATGCTCAGAAATAAACTAAGCGGGTTGCATTCTTCAACTTCACAGTGTCCATTACTGGGGGCTTAGAACAGTCAGAAGTCCCTATATTGATACTCAGAGGTCATTTATACTTATATGAGAAAAGGAACCCTAGAAATGTCAGGAAACTGGTTGCCCCATGATGGGAGTTAACCTGGAGAATGTTTCAAGACTTTCAACTAATCCTCATCAACCATAATTTTGACTTCAGTTCTTGAGTAAGGGAGAAAATGCATTTTATAAACCTTATCCAACTTTGCTGTGTTTTAACCCACCCATACCACATAACAACCAAACATCCTCTGGTTAACAAGAGGTCATTAATTTGTCTGTCTCAGTCAATTTGAGATCATCCTTCTAATTTCTTAGCCGTATGTATCCCACCTATATATAGCCATAGAAGTCCTAAACTATATCCAAAAAGAAATGATAGAAAAGCGACATACATTATTTACGTTAGGTCATTTCACAAGAAATTTGCTAAAAATAAAACCCATAAACATAGTTTAGTAGCTAGGATTTTTGCATCTTCAAAAACCAAATAATCTTTGGCATTCTTGGTTAGAAGTATCATTAAGGATTTTATGGGAAATTTTCCAAATTAAATACACTAACTACTAGAGTGGCCGAATGAGTTTGAGAGGGACTACGAAAGAAACGTGGCTTATCATTCTGGAACGGAGTCTTCCTCTAAGTCGTTCTAATTATAAATTTCTGGTTACTGAACAGCTAGTACAAGCCAATGCGATATGGAGCTAGGAGCATTTAACATACAAATCAAGAGGCAGTTTTCCTATGCTTCTATGTCTGATTATCTGATTTGGTGATCAGCCCTTTGGCAGGCATATAATCAATAGACCCTAACTTCATGACAACAAACGTAAAATCCCACAATTAAAGTAATAAGTCAGCACTAACATACAATTATAACTTAGTCCCTGTGGCAGCTGTTTGCCTATGCAGCTCTTCAAAGAAAGTATTCTCATGCACTGATTTCACATCCAGCCAAGTTAGAGCTAATTTCTTTGATACACTCACATGGTAGAAAGAGTAATCATTAGAAAAGGCCAGACAAATTTGTTCAATAACACTATTGTTCGCTAGAAACTACTACACTATAATGTTGTCATCAACATATTACAATTAAAATAAAATAAACTCTTGATTGGAGTTAACAGTACCCTTAGAGAGAGACAATACCCAATTTAGAGAGGTGGAGTAGACCCGACAAAGGGGCATTTGTTTTGAGTAATTAGGAAAGGGTAAGGGAATCAAAAGAGTTCATTCCCACAGTGTTTGTCAGGTTCAGTTTATCATTCCCTTTTCTTCCTTCATCCCTCCTCCCCCCCCCCCCCCCACAAAAAAAAACCCCACCCCTGGGTTTTCGCTAACTCTCTCTCTCCTCTACCCACCATACTCACTTTGTCACTGACCACCACACGCACCCACACCACCATTGCACTCAATCACCCGCCATTCAATCCTTCCACCACCAAAAAAAAAAACCACCACCACAAAAGCCACCACATCCAGCTTAATAACCACCACCCACACGAGAACCCACCTAACTCCCCCCCCCCAACCATATACTCCCACAAAACTAGCCAGCCACCTTAATAAACCACCACCCATCCATCCAACTACCACAATTCCACAAAAGAGCACACCCAACACCGCATCCATCTTAAAAACCCACCACCCATCAAGAACCCATCTAATGCACCATGGAAAACACCCTCATGCCTTTAGGAAACCCACTCAAACACCAATTCAACCACCACCATAAATAAAAATTATAAAATAAATAAATAAGAGAGGATGAGAAATATCCCTTTTATCATTAATCATGGCTTTAAATGGTTAAATAACTTGACCATGAGTCATGACCTGATGTTTTAAAACCTTAGCGAGTGGCCTATGGCTAGTAGGATGTTAGTGAAAAGGAAGGATAGGCGGGCCAATGGTTTCATTGTGAGTAGAGTAGTGGTGGAGGCTGTAGAGCTGAGAGATGCTTGAGGATTAGCGAATGAAAGGAAAGGTGGAGTAGAAAAATAAAACCAAAATTACACCTTAAATCAAAGGGTTTTTACTTTCCTTTCAGCTTCTAGCCCTTCCTTGACTTCATTCCATTAACCCACGTGCAAACCAAATGCACCATAAGGTTGGTTTCCTAAAAAAAAAAAAATCCATCCCTGTCTATCGCTTCATGGCCTTCATCAATAACCGCTAGGAGGGTGAAACAACCAGAGTCATATATCAGGACCGAATGACCAGTAAGCATTATACAGCAAATTTTACAAACACAGCTAATCTACATCAATTACTGACTTGTCATTTTATTCTAGAATTGTCATATCTACCACTAGACACAATATAAGAATAGCTGCATGCATTTGGACCTCCCCAACTCTACCAATAGTGAATTCCATTAGTATAGTAGCCTTTCCAACAACACTGCTATTCATTGGTTAATTTTCTAATTCTCGTAAGATCAATACCTTCAATTCAAAACATTAAATTTCATAGCTAATCTTGTCTCACTTCTCTAAATCCGGTTTCCACCTTAATTATAGTGCACTTTAGTTTGAAGTCATATCACAAAACAGAGAAACTTCTTGAGCTAACTCCCCACAATAAATATCCAACCCACAACATTTATGAATGCTTTTGGGACCTTTGTCCAAATAAATAAATAGGTACTCACCCTAACCTTTCGAAGGAAGCCTAGACTAAACTCAGAAACGAAGTAAACTTAAACCTGTAATGAATATGAATACTGATTAGTGCCAAGAAGAAGAAAGTGAAGAGGCAATGTCTTCAACCATAATACCTCTCCTTATACGCCCATTCCACCTCATTCATTCACGATTAGCAACATAAATTTTGGGGGGAATCTATCTTTCTTTTTCTCTCTTTTTTTTTTTTGGGGGGGGGGGTATCTTTGTTGAGAAAGATAGATTTGAGCAAGATTGCATTACAGAGGCAATTTACATTCACCCTCCCCCATGCATAAAAGATAAAACCTACACTCTATTAGCCTACTACATGTATGCATAAGCTTTTATAGATGATGAATGGCAACAAATGAATGTGCTTTCATGTAAGATAGAGCTTAATCGTTTAAGAGAGCAGTTGACTAAAGATTGGAAAAGGGTTGAAGCTGTAGATGTTTATTGGGATGTAGAAAAAAATATATCAACATGTCGTAGCTGATTTACCTGCCAATACTTGGAAACACAACGATCAATGCAACTATTTTCACCAAGATTGAGATCGCCTTCCTTGTACCTGAACAAAATATAGAACAGTTTAATTTGTCATAGATTAAGGCAACTCCAATTGGGAAACTTAAGAACTCCATAACAGAAAAAATGTCTAGAATTTTTTTTGTTTGTACATATACCTTTTCTCAACACATTTATTGAAGCAATTATGGGTAAGCCTGGATCAGAAACAAGAATATGTCAAACAAGAAGCATAGCAATAACAATTATAAGCTAAAGTAACAAAAATATATGCTGGGGTGCATGACACAAAGAGTCAAAGACTAAGGCAATAAGCACCAATGATGGCTACATGCCTACATAATAAGAAAAGCCATATTGTTCTTTGACAAGGCCGCCTCTATAATATTTGAGCCAGGTAACCATTTGTAAATGTCGAGAATATAATAGGTACACTATAACTAATGACTTTGATTTTTAGAAAAGGTAAGGAAAAGAAGAGTAAAGTGATTTCCAAGTATATAAAATCAAGTGTGACATACTTGTTGAACAGTTCTACTCGATGTTCCATCTCACCTATTGCTGTGCCAATGATCTACACAAGCGTAGAGAGTGAGTAAATATTATGTATAAGCAATTAACAAAATACTAACTAAAGAAAACCCATAATAAAATTGACAATTCCTCATAACAATTACACATGCTTGAAATAACATCCCTTGCTTATCATTATTGTAAACAGGAAACGCCTTCCTTTCTTTTTTACCCATTCAGGCAGGCAATTGGGTCAGTGCCAAACCCAAACAGTTTATTTGCCATGACTAAATAACTTACAAAGAAAGTAACCCCCATCCCCAAATCAAATACTCGCTGTCCCTTAATGTTTGCCCCAATTTCTTTTATAGACCGTCCCTTTAAGTTTGCTTCATACTTTACCCTCACACCAACTACATTGGTCCCACCACTTTTCTCTCTCATCAAATTTTCCCCACCAAAAATTAAATAGTGACTTAGCCCCAAAGGAGCAAACAAAAGGGATGGAGGGAGTAAAATATCTACTATGTTCTCCTATGATTGTTATATTCGATATCAAAACAAACAATAGCCAGAAAAGTAGCGCACCTTTTGCTTATGCAAGGCAAGTTTAGGGTCGTCCATCTTGACCTAGAATTCCAGAATCCAGATAGTTTTCACCAATATTAGCTTGTTACAAAATATGTAAATAAAAGCTATGGGCATAAACAAAGAACCTCTTGCTCCTCAACAGTAGAAGGGACATTGCTGTTGGCCAATTCAGCCTGTAAAGCCATAACAAATCCATCAGAGAGAAACCAAAATCTAATTACTATGACCAAAACAGAAGGTAGTAAGAAAAAGTAGCATACCATTTCTTTATCCAAAGCAAGTTTATGATCGTCCGTTAAAATCTGAAATTCAGATAATCTTCACAAAGGTTAGCTTGCTACAAAAATATGTTAATAAGAGCAAGGGAAAATGCCAAAAACCAATGTACCTCTTGCTTCTCAACAGTAGGAGGGGCATTGCTGCTGGCCATTATGACCTGTAAAGCCAGAACAAATCGATAAGAGAAATTGATTCCTATTATTTCTCACCAATTCACCAAATAGGGGTAACTAACATAAGCAAGCACTCATTATCTTAGAGACAAAAAGAATTGACTAATGTCACCCCAAAAATATGCAACCAAAGACTTCCTTATTTCATAGCTCTGTACATATACTAAGTTGCTTGAAATGACTAATGACATTTCCTCTCCCTCCTTCCCACTCCTTCCCGGATAAGAAGACCACCACATTATTCATCCAGAAATATTAGCAACTGCTTATTACTACAGCAGAGTATTATAAGGTGCTGAAAAAACATGAAAGAATGATAAGGTATTCTTGCACATTTATACAAATTTTCTACCAGCAAAAAAGTTTTCATTCTCATTTTTCATGATACATTACCAGCTACTTAGTTTGGATCAAAATAAACAAGTCCCTTTACTATCATTTCACAAACTTCAACTGTTTGAACAACTAGTTTACCAAACAATGTCTATAAAACCAAGTTAACTAGTATATTTTTCCGAGCTTTCCGATCATATTGCCTACCAAAGAACATTTAGGTTTCAATAACGAGCAATCTTCAGTCCAACAAGTACCACTAATGTTTACGGTAAAAATTAACTTTTAAATACAAATACGACGAAACTATAGTACGGAAGTAATGTATGATGGGGGAATCGAGAATTCGAGAAATAACAAAACAAGTTCACCCTAAATACATTACTCTCTCCAGAGTCTTCCAGACTCCAATCAAAATAACAAAACAATCACAAGTTCAAGATTCTTTTGACAGAAATTTCATCATAAAAACATAAATACACAAATCATACTAAGTTATAACAAAGAATGTTCAATGTTCATATATAGGTCTCATAAAAACACACATAATTCAAGAATCCCAGAAAGGAGAAAATTATCATTTGCATAGTTCCTTCCTGCTTTTAATTGAAAGGTTCTGCAATACACCAGCAACCAAATTTAACTCAAATTCTTCAAACATAAGAATATGAATAGCAAAATTCTAACCTAAGAAAAGTTAAATTATAACAAATAGTAATCAGTCCACCCTAAATTGAATCAAATTAACAATTAACACTACAATGTGAAATCGATATTCGACGATTAATAGAAAAAGGGAAGAAAAATCTTACCTGAAAAAGTTGCTTCAATGGAGGTGAGAGAGCTCAGAAACTGCTTCAATGGAGAAATAATGTTTGTTCTTCTGTATTTTCAGTGAGTATTGTCTAGCGGCTGCTCAATGAAGTATGCTGTATACACATACGTAGTGTACAACAAGACAGTCTTTTTAAAATGGCCGGGTTTCCACTAAATTCTCGCTAGCCCAATTTTTAGTAGTGTTCGGCATCACCGCATTTACAATTAGACTTGTTAATTCGGGTTCACGGGTCGAGTTATGTTTAGATTTCACAAGTCGTTTGGGTCATTATAAAATATGATAAATATAAAGTATTAAATAGGTCAGATCGGGTTGATTTTGGGTCGGGCTTAGGATTCTCTTTCATAGACTCGGATTTGGTTCTGGTCAGGTCAGGTTATTAGATCGGGTCAGGAATTAGGACTATTCAAAATGGATGGTTATATCCCTTGTAAGTTGTAAGTTTAATTTGTCACATCATTATTCCCAAACTTATTTAATTCAAGCTAATAAATGAATGCCACAAAAAGTTCTTTATAGTTACTAAAGTTCTTTATAGTTACTAAACATAATTCAAGTTTCTCAACATAAATAACAAACTACGGACTATGTTTTTCAAATGATAAATTCGTAAATATAAATATTTTTTTACGACATTAAGTCTTCTAGGAGTAAATAAGTCCAAAATAAATACTTTTCTCTTGGTTATGTATAGCAAATTAGCAATACACCACCCTTGTAGGGTATATATATACGTAGTATATAGTATATCTTGTTGACTAAAATTTCCTAAATACAAATTATTGATCAGTAACTAGCTAGTATTTCCTTGTGGATTAGTTCTCTTCATCTACAACTGGGGACATAGAGACTAAGTAAGGCTCTATTGTCAATAAAATCTAGTAATAACACTGCCAGTGGCAGATCCAAGAATTATACCTAGGGGGTTTGAACTTCATCAAACACCTGACGTCTGAATACACGGATATAAATCGGGTATTCAAGTATAAAATAGAGTGTTCAAATAAATACCAATACACAACAAAATAAGTCCAAATTCTAATAAAAATACAAAATAAAATGATCCGATACAATAATACATAACTTTAATTAAATGTCAAAATGCAATACATAAAAAAGATGCAAATTACAAAAGCATTCTTCGAGTTTTCATACTTTAAAAACGTTCCAATACATCATTGTCACTAACGTTAGCAAAAAGATCTCTTTCAAGAAATGTGACTACAATAATCAGTACTACACTACTCTACTGCCCATTTAACAGTTAACAATACAACAAAACAATCAACATATTAACAATTAAGAAATTGAAACACTCAAAAACAGATTATTCATTATTAGATTAACAATATACAAATGAAAAACAATATACAATTTAAACAGATTTAAACATTTAACACTACATCAATTAGCAAATTAACACTTAAAAGAAAAAAGATTAACAATCTACAATTTAAACAAGTAAAAATCATGTTAAAATATTTAAGAAATTGAAAAAAAAAAAAAAAAAAAAAAAGGAGAGAGAGAGAAGGAGACTGTCAGCAGGGTCGTTACCTAGGGGAGTAGCCTAGGTGGCGGTGATGCTGCAGCAGCCAGCAGGGTCATGCCGTCGTGGACTCAAACCCATTTTTTTTTTGTTTTTTATATAGTTTTTCTATTTTTTTCTTTTTAAATACTATTCCTATTTTTTTTCCAGATCTAACGGGGTTCAGTTGAAACCCCACTGGATCCGCCTCTGAACACTGCATCTTATATAATGCCATCTAATTAGATAAAGATAATACAAGATAAATTCATAAAAGAAAATATAAAGACTAATAAGAGAACTCATTCTCAAAGTAACCCTACTGTAGAATTAATCCCTTAATGGTTGAAAGGTGCAATCTTCCTCACCAGATCAGACCAATTAAATTTGACATGTTTGCCATCAGCTAACTTAACAAGCAAGTAAGTTTTTACGCGGAAACTTCTAGCATAGTTCATGAGATAACAAGCTAAGTCAACCACCAATACCGGTGGTGAGCTTTGAATAATATGCAAGTCGATGGTATTTTAATCAAGATGTCAACCTGTCACATAATGTAAGATCAACCTCCAACATGCATATATAGTTCTAACTAACAGTTCTAAGTTCACAACACAACACATACACAAATCACACTTTAGCTTAATACCTCTGGGATATTTCACATCGATTAGGTACGAAATTATAGACTTTTACCTTTAATTACTTTTGTTTTAATCGTAGTTTGTTTATGTAATTACTTTTTAAAGCTTGCATTTTCTCCCATTAAAAAATTGATAAACAATTCACGTACTAAAATGTTGAAGGAATAGAAATTTCGTATGCATACGAATATAATGTATTCATTTGAATAAATAGATGTCCATCTTTGTATACCAATTTAATGATTATAATTATTAGCTACAACTTCTAAGCCGATTATTATGGAGTAATTAACATGTAAATATCAATCTTGTTGAAATGTTGCGTAAACTACGTAGTTTTTATTGTATCATACTATCATATATGATCATAATTTTGTAATATGTTAAAATATTGGGAGGTAGAGAACTTAATTAGTGATTTAAACTAACCTCATAAAACAATGATAGCGATAATTATTTGATCAAGAAGAACAATTTATTAACAAAATGAATTTAGACGTACTGTGAGGTGACCCCTTTGGTTGGAAGACTATTGCTTTCGGACAATGTGAGTATTTTATGATGAGAGATATAGAGTGTAAATAACATCTGAAAACAAAGATTGGGAAGATTTTATACTTAAAGTTATTTTCAGAATTTACGTCTTAGAAAAGTCATAAACACACATCGTACGAATTAGTATTAATTTATTAATGGAGTATTTATTTGATGTATTGATGTCTCATGCCAAGAGTACATACTGAAATTATTGAAATTTAAAAATAAAAAACAAAAAAAAGAAAATTTGTCAAGAATAGGTCAACTTTTGCGGGGTTAGCTCAAAATAAGCCAATCTTTCAATTAATTCAAAATAAGTCGACCTTTATAGATATCTTTTCAAAATGAGTCAAAACCTGTTAGACCAGAAATTAATTGATAGTTAAGGTAAATTACGTCACGTGTCATTGTGTGCTTGGTTCTTTTGTTAAAAAAATAACTAAGATTAATTATTTAGTAATTAACAATTAATTCAATTTTTTTTTGAGGAAAACAATTAATTATTAAATAATTATATCAAAAAAATAAAATAAACAAATAAACTAAAAAAAAACCAGCCACCCCCCACCACTGACCACTGCCAGCCCCTCTCCCTGCTAGCGACCGGCGGCCAGAATTCTTCCCCGGCGTCGAAGGCGACTCCATCCCATCCCTTTCTCATTCCCGTTCCCCCTTCCCCCTCTTGGAAACACGAAACCCAAACCCGTTTAGGGTTTTTTAATTTTAATTATAATGGGCAAAGGGGAAGGTCAGGGTTGGGTTGGGGGAAACGGGAATGAGGAAAAGAAGAAGGGAGAGGTGAGGTCGCCGGTGCCTGGGAAGGGAGGTGGTCTCCGGCGCCGAGGGAGGGAGGTGGTTACCAGCCTCTGGCCGCCGGCGGTTGGCAAGAGGGCTGGCAGTGGTGGCCTAGTGGGAGGGGGTTGAGTTATTTTTTAATTTTATAATTTGTTTATTTAATATATATATTTATAATTAAACATAATTATTATTAAATTATTTATAATAAAAAAAAAAAACCTGTTTGATAGGTCGTAGGTCATTTGACCTATCAAAAGAAAATACACTTAAAAGTTGACTTATTTTGAGTTAATCGAAAAGTTGGCTTATTTTGAGTTAACCAAGCAAAGGTTGACTTATTTTTGACAAATTTGACCTATTAAAAGAAAATACACTTAAAAGTTGACTTATTTTGAGTTAATCGAAAGGTTGGCTTATTTTGAGTTAACCAAGCAAAGGTTCACTTATTTTTGACAAATTTTCAAAAAAAAAAAAAAAAGTTTTGATGTAATGGCTTCATAAATCATAATCCAATAGTCCCATTTTTTTCCTTTTACGAGTAATTTTTTTAATGACAGTAAACCAATACTCCTTATATAACTAAAAAACTCAAAACTTTATTGCTGAAATATTTAGTAAGAATCTTCGTTCCTACAAGTATTATACATTATATTCCCAATTATTTTTTTTTCCCTAGCAAGAGGTTATTAGTATACTGAATCGAGTAGTTGATGGATCTCTTGCATGTGTGTCAAAATCACAAGTACTTGTTGTTTATTAGTTGGCATATAACAACTATTGGATATATAAAATACACATTAAATTAAATTTGCCAAAGTTTTCTATGATAATGCATTTAAGTAATATTACATATAAATATATGGTTAAAGTTTATGAATTTTGACCATCGAAAAGATAATATGACAATTAATTTGAGACAGAACTGTACATATAGTAGTTTAAATAAAAAGTTTTGTTGCTACATATCACTGTACATAGTACAAAGTATACGTAGTTTTATGTGCGTATATATTTATTTCATCGGCTTAAATTAATTATATGTTCAAATAAGAAAAGATAACATGGCTTAAGGACCTACTCAAGTTCAAATATATTAAGGGCTTGCCATGCTAAATTCACAAAAACAATAATTTTAACAAATTTTGGAATTTTGTTTATGTTATTACATGTACCAAAGGCCCATAATCTATATACAAAGTATATTTTGGGTTTTGGTTTATATAGGAGTCAAGGCCACAGTACACAGGTGAATGGGCAATACTCATGTATTAATCGAGATTCAATCCTGGTATTTTATACCCTACCTTCAAAGATTTTATCAATTAATTGCATTGATGCATAAATGAACAAATAATACTAATTTATATACTTTTTTCGTTCTTTTTTTATTGCATCATAGGAGATTTCATGCTTGCCAATGCATTATTTTAGCTATTAATATCTTTAATTATACCTTTGTAAAAATTATAAAAAATTGATATTTGGAAAGTAGATTTTGAGATGAATCTAACTAGATCCCACATGACTATGTTTTTCTTTACGAATAAATCACAAAAGATGGTCAAAGAAGATTATGTGAATAGTGTAAAAGTCAAAGTGATGCGATAAAAAAAGAACGGAGGAAG